ACCTCCAATTTGAAGCTCTTTGCCACCCGCCTTAGTAGCCTCTACTGCAAGTAAGCACTGACTGGCACAGATCCCAAGACCTTAAAAAACGCACAATTGCTGAAGCAGCTCTGCCGTTCAACCACCAAAAGTATCCAAGCGAGAAGTGTGGCTGGGCTCCTTGCCGCGCCGACCGCGCCGGCCATTTGTACATTAGCATTCGTGAGCATGACCTGCCCATGAGGGTTCTCTGCGCCACGATCTGCGGGACGGAGTTGCATAGGGATGGCCGACGTCCACTTGAGGCCGTGCTGATTTGCATCGAGACTTGAACTCCGAGATCCCAGACCCTGACTTCAATAAGGAGTCCCAAGTCTATCCCTCTTGCACGCCACGGGGTCACTTAAGAGGCATGGGCGATCCCTGTCCCCCACCTGCCGGGTGCCACATGGCTGATGGCCACCGGAGAGCTGCAGAATCGGAGAGGGTTTGGGGTTTAGGGTTTAGGGTTTGGGGTTTAGGGTTTAGGGTTTCGGGTTCGGGAGTTTAGGGTTTCGGGCTTAGAGGGTCGGAGAGGGGGTGGAGGGAGTTGCAGGAATCTTCGAGGCAGCCAGCATCCAAAAATTGCAGCACAACCGAAGCGAAAGCTGTAAGGTCAGCGGGTCCGACTGTCAAGCCTGTCAAGCGTCAATAGCAAATCACCACGTTCACTCAGCCCCCGAAGACACCGACGCAGCTTCCCTGCGCCACCTGGGCCTGCACTGCGTGGCCCTGCGGCACCTCCGCAGCAGAGTTGCGCGCGCGCGCTGCTCTTTTCATCTCTTTTCAAAGATTGAGAGAAAGGGCGCATGGCAAGACCGCACGGGCATGAAAACGTTAACCACGCGAGCAAGTAGGGGTTCGATGTGAAGGGTGCTGTGTGGGCTATATCATATTCGTGAGTCTTCGTCGCAACCGCAGCCACATGAGGATTTGGGTTTGAAGCCCGCAAGACCCAAGGCATCCACAAGCATGGCGGTTGGTGGTTCCAGCGGTATGCATCGCGCGTAAGCATCCTAATTCCTGCATGTTGGTTCGGGTTGGGGTCTCCATATCCCTTGAAAGTACCCAACAATGGGGAAAAAAACATACGTAGTACCAAGGCCGAGCCTGTCGCATGATCACAGACTGGCGCATGGGCTGCGAAGATGCTCGGACATTGGCCTGGGAGACAGAAGATTCCAGAAATCTCGGGGTTTAGGGCCAGAGTCTCAAATCCTAGGCCAAAGTTCAAGGGCTTTTCTTTTGTAGCAACGGCCCTAAATTTAAATCTGCAGCACCCTAGAGTCCCAGATCCTACACTCAATTGTCGGTCAGATACCAGTGCAAACTCTGAGCGTTCATGAGCTGCTTGGGCTCAGCCTGCCATCGAATACCGAACTGCTCTCAGAAGGGAACATGAAGAGCACCAACAACCCTGCTCTTTAGCAACTTCTCCTCATCTGAGGCCTTAGTGCAAGGCCGTGGCCCTAAACCCAAATCATCCCCCCGAAGAAGCCCGCTCACACCACAAAGTACTCCTTCCACCCAGCGCACGAAGGCCCACGCGCCCGCTTGCGAGTGAACCACACCGGAGACTCGCGGAGCCTGGGCGATTCGAGGGCTTCAGGGTTTAGGGTTTAGGGTTTAGGGTTTAGATCTCTCTAGATTCTGGCATGACATTCATAAATATCATTCGAGAATTGAATCGCAGAGTGCGTAGATATGGCTGTTGATCCAGGATTCGCAGCTAGTCAACAATGCAGATCCAGACTCGGTGGGAAGATTGCAGCAGTGAGCTCACCCACTCGAAACACTTCTCGCGCAACCACACCAAGCACGCTTTTCGCAAGGTGCACGTGACTTGTGCAATGCATTGACAATGTGGGAAGACCGGCATGGAATGAATCAGAATCTGCATTCACGACGGCTGCTAATTTCACAAGTAGTTTTCTAGTTTCTAGGCTCACTTCTTCAGCTTCTGGCCACCACGCAGCAGACCCGTGCGCCGGGCTGCGATCAAACCAACCTTCTGACCAGGCACGGACTCGCGAGACACGGTGGTAGGGTGGCCCACGTGCTGGTGATTTCCTCCTCCGTGAGGGTGCTCCACAGGGTTCATGGCCGAACCGCGCACCTTGGGCCAGCTGTTTCTCTTCACCCGGTACTTGTGGTAGTTGTTGCCGGCCTTCAAGACTGGCTTGTCCATGCGGCCGCCGCCTGCGACAATGCCTACGATGGCACGGCAAGTGGATGGCAAGCTCTTGCGGCTGCCGGAAGGGAGACGGATACGGGTCTTCTTGCCATCGTCGGAGTGGCCAACGACCATGCAGGACGTACCGGAGGCTCGGGCAAAGCGGCCACGATCCGATGCCTTCTCCTCGCACATGGAGATCACGGTACCCTCAGGCATCTTGGCCAAGGGAAGCACGTTGCCGACTGCCAACTGGGCCTTGGAGCCACAGTACACAAACTGTCCGGTGTGGCTACCCTCCACGGCCACCCACAACTCCTTCTTCAGCTTGTAGCGGTAAGGATCATGGAAAGCTACCTCACAAATGGGTGCGCCACGGCCGGGGTCGTGCATGATCTTCTTGATCAGGCCCTTGATGTAGCCCTTGCGCTCGGCATAGTCCACGGCGCGGAGCTTCACGGCACCCTTTCTGAGCCTGGTCTTCGCTGTGAAGATCAGGGACTTGCCCTTACGCGAGCCGCGGATGACGCGGCCCATCTTCGCCGATCTTAGCACAAGCCGGCGTGCACCTCTACAACAGCCTTGTTACGGGCTATCGACCTGTGAGCCGACAGATGTATTCGGACATGGCGATTCTTCAGCTCTTCTCAGTTCGATTCGTCTTCCTGGATGGAAGGGCCGATCGAGCGAGAGAAGCAAGCACAAATGAGCAAATAAACGACATGGGCAAGACCACCTCGGACCTCCGAGATTTCCTCTTGTTCAAGTCGAGGTTCTAGTGCTAAGCCCCAAAGAACTCCCAGCCCTGTGCCCAAGCCCTGTTGGGCCAAGAGAAGCCCTGAAGCCGACGACCGCAAAAACGGCCACCAGCTTGAGGGTTTAGCTCAGTGTCTTCCTGGGCGCAGGAGCATCGGTGCAGTATTTTATTTACATGGGGATGACGACGACCGGGATGTTGATGACGATGAAAACGAGAAAGATACTGATGATGGCGATGATGATGCGCTTTCCCTCCCTCCCTCCCTCCTCACCCTGACAGACGAATTGAGCTCAACACGGCAGGCTTGCAACCAGACTGGAAACTCGAGTTTTTGAGCACGGTGCAGGCTAGTGCAGAGCATTCTCGGTGTTGTGGGCATGTTCACTTCTTCAGCTTCTGGCCACCACGCAGCAGACCCGTGCGCCGGGCTGCGATCAAACCCACCTTCTGACCAGGCACGGACTCGCGAGACACGGTGGTGGGGTGGCCCACGTGCTGGTGATTTCCTCCTCCGTGAGGGTGCTCCACAGGGTTCATGGCCGAACCGCGCACCTTGGGCCAGCTGTTCCTCTTCACCCGGTACTTGTGGTAGTTGTTGCCGGCCTTCAAGACTGGCTTGTCCATGCGGCCGCCGCCTGCGACAATGCCGACGATGGCGCGGCAAGTGGATGGCAAGCTCTTGCGGCTGCCGGAAGGGAGACGGATACGGGTCTTCTTGCCATCGTCGGAGTGGCCAACGACCATGCAGGACGTACCGGAGGCTCGGGCAAAGCGGCCACGATCCGATGCCTTCTCCTCGCACATGGAGATCACGGTACCCTCAGGCATCTTGGCCAAGGGAAGCACGTTGCCGACTGCCAGCTGGGCCTTGGAGCCACAGTACACAAACTGTCCGGTGTGGCTACCCTCCACAGCCACCCACAACTCCTTCTTCAGCTTGTAGCGGTAAGGATCATGGAAAGCTACCTCGCAAATGGGTGCGCCGCGGCCGGGGTCGTGCATGATCTTCTTGATCAGGCCCTTGATGTAGCCCTTGCGCTCGGCATAGTCCACGGCGCGGAGCTTCACGGCACCCTTTCTGAGCCTGGTCTTCGCTGTGAAGATCAGGGACTTGCCCTTACGCGAGCCGCGGATGACGCGGCCCATGGCTCTAACCTGCCCTGCACCAAGACCTCCAAACCTGAACAATTGCGGTGAGCACTTCGTAGAAGCCACATTCGTGCATGGCGGGTGGCTGTCGTGGATGGAACGGAATTGCTGACTGTCTTTGCCTACGTGAGAGAGAGAGAGGAGCGAGTGCCCACATACCAGCAACTCTCTCGCGGCAGGTTCTTTTTGCCTGCTCATGTTGTCTGCCTGTCCGCTCGACATCTTTGCGTTCCTGGTGTTGTCCTTTGGACATCACCACGGCTAAAGCGCAGGGGCCTGGGGGGCCCAGGGGATGGTACATTCTGCGTGCAGTCTACGTAAGAACCCAAATACCCAATCCCCCTGCGCTCTCAGGACCTTTGAGCCTCTCGCCCACACAAGGCCCGGAGTCAGTTTTTGGGGGAGCCAGGGCTTAGGGTTAGGGTAGCTATGGGCAGTCTAAACCTGCTTCCAACATTGAAATCCCGACGAGATCCGCCCCCCTAAAGGCCCTAAAGGTCTCTTGTCAGGATGTGCAAAAGGCCAGCTGTAAAGCTCAGGAAAGGCCCCCGCGACGAGGAGCGGCTGTTCCTGCTGCAGTGTCCGGACTTTGTGTTGCTCGCGCTTGGCCCATAAACCGCCCCAAAAACACTCTCTTCTTCAGCCAGAACATGCCAGAACCAAATTGCTTTTCTATATATTTGCGCAAAGTAACAAGAAACCACACCGGCCTCAAGACCGCAATCACTGCTCTCTTTTCTAGGGCTTGTAGGGCTTTCAATTTCTTCGGGTGTTGGGTTTACAAGCCTTCGGGAAGGGCATTTCCGGGGAATGCGGGGGGGGGGACTTTCAGTCTCATGGGGCAACTGATGGCAGCTGCACCTCTAAAGACTCTAAAGCCCCACCAGCAGCTCTCAGGGGGCATGAAGACCTCAAACCTGTGCTCCTGTGAACGCAACAACCCCGGGGGAACCCCGGAAACGCGCCAAGGCGCTTCGCTCCTCCCCCGGGGTCCGGAAATCCCAGCAAGCCTCAGTCTCTTCGCAAGGAGAGGATGGATCGACTGAGCTGTGAAGATTATCCTGTATGGAGTGTTCACACGAACCAAAAAGAAAACCTATTACGTTGCGCGCAAACCTGCGCACCGTCCAAGCGCAAACCTGCGCGGTCCTCATGGAAAACGTGGGAAAACCGACTGAGCGAGTGCTCCCATGCCACAATGGAAGTGTGGCGTGGGAGCACTCGCTCAGTCCGCATCACAAACGCCCGGTTAGCTGAAGCTGCAAACAAGGAGCCCTTAACCCTCAACCCCTCAACCCCCAACCAACCTCAAGGTGTGGTGCCCCCCCCCCGCCCCCCGCTCTGAGCCGCCCACTGGATCAAGGTGCAGTAATGCCGAACTTCTCCTTCCTTAGCTGTCCAGCTGTCAAGGCCGACAAGCGGTAACTGGACCATGCTGCAAAATGCTACCAGGTGTCAGCAGCTTGGCATCGTGAGCTCGCAAAAAGTTTAGGCTTCAGAGCTCTGGGAGTCTGGGGGCGAGTTTCGAAGGGAGTATCATGGAGCCAGAACGCCTCCGATGCACCCTCAGTCCATTGCAAGCCCGGTTAGAGTAAGGAAAGGTTCTGCACCTCCACCTCGGCGATGTACTCGGTCATCGCCTCGGTGTGAGAAGCGTGCGGATGCCCCGGGGGGGCATGGCTGCTATTCCAATGCAGGAGGATCTGAGCACGTCATTACAAGGCTCAATCAAACATCTCTGTGACATACTGTCATACGCTTCAAGGCCCTTCGGGATCGAATTCCCCTGAGCTCCCGGTTACCCCTGAGCCCGCCGGCCGCTTCTTTGGACTTATTCTTGTTCTTCTCCCAAGCCTCGGAGGCACAACTGAGACAGTTATGAAGAACACCTCACATGGTTTTAAGACTGCACTTGGCTCCAATTTATATTACTTGTAGCTTGGCTGCCAAACCGCCTAAACCGGAAACATCGCCTCTGCAAGCCCGATGAACTCTCAAAGCGAGCCCGCGTTTTGGAGGGCAGCCAGGCGACCTCCCACTTTGCCTTCGCCTCCCACTGAACTGCCCAGGGGGCGGCTGAGGTGTTGTCGCCTTCCTTCGCCTTGCCGGCACATGCCCGGAAGCCCCGTGATCTCGAGATGGCGCCCCCTACAGAATGCAACGCAGCCTTGAACGCTTCAGGTTGGGATGTTTACCCCTTAGACTCGCAGTCCTTATCACAGGGACTATACTAGGGGCATACCATAATCCCTCTTAAGGACTGCTAGTCTTAAGGGGAGCCTCCCAAGCTTCAGGAGTCTCGACATCTGAGGCTCGCCCCGGCCTGCTTGAACAGGCCATAGAGCTTGAGCTTGTCCTCGGCTGCACGAACGGCAACAAGTGCAAGTGAGGATTTGCGCTAAAAAGGCGGAGCTGTTTTCTTTTCTCTGTGCCCATAACTCTCTGAAAATTGGATAACAATTTGCAGCTCAACCACGGTTCTTAGCAGTTGTGCGTTTGGGCCTGTCGCTTAAGAGCAGGCTCTACCAGAACGTCAGCACCCTCACAGTCTCCCTCACCCTAAACCCCAAACCCTAAACCCTAAACCCTAAACCGCGTTTCCACAAGACAGCTGACCGAGTTGCCTCGGTGGTCGCCGCGCCTTTGGTGGGCGTTCCTGAGCGCTCCCTGCAAACCCCAAGTACCTACAGTCTGATGGGTCATTAGGGTTTAGGGTTTATAAGGTTTAGGGTTTAGGGTTTAGGGTTTAGGGTTTAGGGTTTAGGGTTTAGGGTTTAGGGTTTAGGGTTTAGGGTTTAGGGTTTAGGGTTTAGGGTTTAGGGTTTAGGGTTTAGGGTTTAGGGAGGGGTTACAGGTCTGAAGGCCGAAGAGGTATACGGCCCATGTTCGAGGCCTTGGCTTCCACCCGAGATCATTCTTCAAACCCCAACAGGGTTTATAGGGTTTATAGGGTTTATAGGGTTTAGGGTCCTTTCGCAATGTAGTTCGCCGCTTCATTGAACTTTGCCTCGAGGTCCTTCCGAAACAAGGGCTGCACACCATCGGGAGAGCCAGGAGGGCATGGGGATGTGGGGACGGGTTGCTTCTTGCGCTTTGCGGCTTTGCCCCTCTGCCAAGATTCTCACAAAGCATCCAAAAGAAAGTCCCCTCTCATGAAGCTCGCCCTCCGGTCCGCCATGTCGAGAGGCCAGCACGGGGTCGCAAGGATGCTTCTCTGGTTTGCTCGAGCCGTAAGGGGGGCTGCCGGTGCCGGCGACGGCCTCTTGGGTGCTGGGGACGAAGCTCGACAGGCTTGTCGGCTTGCTTTCGGGTGCCTGGGCTACGTCAACAGTGTCGATGGAGTTACTGGGCCACTGTCACCCTGCTTACGCCAATGTAATTTCAGCAAGGCTGCCTTAAGCCTTGAGCTTTCGATCGGAAATTAGGAAGCGACTACAAGCAGTAACAATCCGCAGGCAGCAATGATGCTTTTGGGTGGCGTTGCGTGGTGGGGGCAGTCTCGAGTTGTCTATGTCATCATCCTTCATGTGGCTCACTTCTTCAGCTTCTGGCCACCACGCAGCAGACCCGTGCGCCGGGCTGCGATCAAACCCACCTTCTGACCAGGCACGGACTCGCGAGACACGGTGGTGGGGTGGCCCACGTGCTGGTGATTTCCTCCTCCGTGAGGGTGCTCCACAGGGTTCATGGCCGAACCGCGCACCTTGGGCCAGCTGTTCCTCTTCACCCGGTACTTGTGGTAGTTGTTGCCGGCCTTCAAGACTGGTTTGTCCATGCGGCCGCCGCCTGCGACAATGCCGACGATGGCGCGGCAAGTCGATGGCAAGCTCTTGCGGCTGCCGGAAGGGAGACGGATACGGGTCTTCTTGCCATCGTCGGAGTGGCCAACGACCATGCAGGACGTACCGGAGGCTCGGGCAAAGCGGCCACGATCCGATGCCTTCTCCTCGCACATGGAGATCACGGTACCCTCAGGCATCTTGGCCAAGGGAAGCACGTTGCCAACTGCCAGCTGGGCCTTGGAGCCACAGTACACGAACTGTCCGGTGTGGCTACCCTCCACGGCCACCCACAACTCCTTCTTCAGCTTGTAGCGGTAAGGATCATGGAAAGCTACCTCACAAATGGGTGCGCCACGGCCGGGGTCGTGCATGATCTTCTTGATCAGGCCCTTGATGTAGCCCTTGCGCTCGGCATAGTCCACGGCGCGGAGCTTCACGGCACCCTTTCTGAGCCTGGTCTTCGCTGTGAAGATCAGGGACTTGCCCTTACGCGAGCCGCGGATGACGCGGCCCATGGCTGCTACCCACCACGCAGATGCTCCTGAGCCGTCTGCCGCACAGCCAAGTGACAAAATTCCTGCCAAGCAAGCGGTGAACCTTCACCTGCCCTCGACCACCGCACCATACAGTAACCGATCAGCTAGGAAAGCAAGCTCCATGTCTTTGTGGGAGAAGGGAAAAGTGACCCCCGCCTGGCTTTGCAGCTGTACTCGTAGGGATTCCGATTCATGAAAAGCAGCGCTAACGAAGCCACTGTTGACTTGATATAATTAACCCATCTCGCACGGGGCCCGGCGGAGGATGATCGTGGCTTCTGCTGGACCACGCTGTGGACGGCCACAACTGGGCCGGTTAAGCGAATGGAGCTGATCATTGGGTTGTAAGGGGCCTGTGCTGTTTAGGTATTCGGGGGGGGGGGGGGGGGGGTCTTCTACAAGGCATGTAGATGAGGACGCTGCCTCAGAACAAACCTTGCTCAGTCAACTGGCAAGTGGAAGAAGGCATGAGAATGTGAAGCCCCAAAGACCCTCTTGGTCATCGCTGTGAGTACGGACTTCGGCGATCACCCCAGTCTTTCAACGGCATCAAGTTACATCTCTGCGTCAAGACCTCGCGAAGCTGCAGGTCCCACCTCGTCCAACGTCCAATCTACATCCCCACACCTGCCAAACCTTTCGGCTACCAGTCCCAAAGCCTCAACCGTACATTGAGAAACAAATTCGCTTTAACTATGATCAAGCATTGACAACAACTTATCAACAAGTATTTGTATAGTCAGTATAGTGAACCCTTTAAGTCACAACCCTGACCGTTCACTGGCGCACCTGGAGTGGCGCGCACCGGTTGGGCAACCACCGAGCTGACCTTCGACAAGAGGCGACGCGGAGGCTTACGAAAACAGGGGGGCCCCCAATCTAGGTCCCCAAATAGTAGGATGCCCTTGTAATAATAAGAACCCCAACAAGGTACCCCTAACTTAGGAAAACATGGATCTGCATACCGTGCCACTGAACATGCGCTCGCTGCACGACTCCACGAGCTCCCGGGAACAGCAACCCCAGCTTTCAAGACGTGCTGGACACCAAGCGCAGATTCCACACATTGAGAGAGCAGGGGTCAACATGCGACGGCCCAAAAAAACAGCCTGCAAAACTCAGGCGCTTCTTAAAGTCTTACCGAGCTACAGTTGAAGACGTCTAAACACAGCACCCCGCCTGGCTGCAAGGCATGCCGGTGGGCGTCTGTGCCCGATAGGCAGCGCCCTGGGAAAAGAAACCCAAGCAGTCTGCTACAGAAATGTGGAGTCGTGGGAAGCTACGACTCGTGATGACTGGCAAGCTTGCCAGACCATTCAAAGCAAGGCGGGCGAACTGCTATTTGAGGTGGCGGATTCTGACAGTCGGCCCCTAGTTCTCTTCTCAATGCGGATCTGGGTTCTCTGAAGCGTGCACCAGAGCTGCTGCCTTTGGTGTGCGCCTCCTTTCAGCTTACTTTGAGGTGCGGAGAACAGCACGCAGGCGGCGCCTGTAGCTGCCCCATGGGAGCCTGGCATTCAGGTAGTCGACTCTTTCGGCGCACCGGAAAGCAAACTTCGGGATGGCTTGGGTTCTTCGTGTTGGCTTGATGATACAGAGGCTGAAAGATGATCATCCATCATGGCAACCCTGGACCCTAAACCCTAAACCCTGAACCCTAAACCCTGAACCCTAAACCCTGAACCCTGAACCCTGAACCACTTGCTCACCTCCCTGCATCGCCTGCCACCACAAGTCCCCCTAAGGCTTGGCATCCGTGGTCGGAACGCTCCCAACCCAACAGCAGCTGCCGCAAGGCTCAAACTCCAGAGCAAAAAGCAGGAGTCCCACATCTTACAGCATTCTGGAAGCTAAACCCTCAACCCTCAACCCTCAACCCTCAAAAACCATACTGCGCAAGCTTCGGCAGCCAGAAACCTCCCCAAGCACCCCACGGCAACACCGGATCGCGAAGCCTCGTGGCCAAGGAGGGTCGGTGGTACTGGCGGAGGTGGTGACCTTCCGTCGCCCTTTGATCCGCTACAAGCACTTGCACCACGCCGCCAAGCAATCAATCATTGCCAGCACGGTCGGTCAAAAGGTCCACAAGCTCTGCGAGATGCGTTGGTGCGTTTTGTTGATGGTGATGTTATTCGCAAAGAAGGCTCACTGCAGCTTGCGGCTCAGGTTGAAAACGACAGCATCCTGATCAGTCTCAATCTTCGGAGGTGTAATTTGGGGTGTAGTAGCAAGCCGGCCTTGCCGCCCCTAACTTAGCCCTGCCTGAAGCCGCACGAGATACCGGTGCTGATAGGAGCCCCAACGGAAAACCAGACGCCTACCACAAAAACGCGCCAACTTCCTGCCCACTTCTGCTCTGCCCGACCTCGGCGATTGCTGCATCGGCACTGCCGATGCTACCTCATTGCGCTGCAAATTGCGGCTGCAAAGGTCTGGGCAGCCTGCTTGCAAGCCAGCACCCTGCATTTATCGCTGCCTTCCAACCTTTACAACAGAGGACATATACGCATCCGTACGAAACAGAAGCCGAAATGGCCCCAAGAAGCCCCCAACATGTTCCGACATCTTAAAGCCAGCAGGCTCCTCGCGCATTCGCATGTCACAAGGCAGCACACAGCACAGCACAACACACCTTGGGATGTTCCCCTTCTACTAACGGTCCTTTACGGGGATCTATAATAGGGGGGGGGGGGGGGGGTTACCATAATGATGACTATTAAGGACTGCTAGTACAAGGGGGAACATCCCAAACACACACCACCAGGGGCCCTCCGAAAAAGAGAGCCTGGAACCCCTCGCACTCCTGGGTTCCCAGGCCGGGTAGTGTGCGCCTCGGGCTTGGATGCCTGGGCGTGGAGGAGGCAGCCCATATGTATATATAATTTTGAATACTGAGAATATTCACATATAGTTTTGAGGAAAGTGATGGTCCATAGCAATATTAAGTTCGTAGTTTTTTTGTGACCCTGACGCCCTTTTCGCCCAAGGCCCTTCGGCACTCCTACCGTCGGATTTTGGCGAATCTCTGGATGCTGCCGCAGGATGGGCCCCAGAGCCGCTACACTGCCATACAGCCCTGAGGGCCACACCCGGTGCCGCAGCCACCTGCCATGGGAGCCACATAAGTACTGGCCAACCTTTGGGGGAACTTCAGGGCCCCCCCAGAAGGTTCCAAGCCCGCCTCACCGCGTCTCACGAAGCCTGCGTGCAGACAGACGTGTAACTTAGTAACTGCACAAGCTCCTCGCCATGCATCCTAAACCCTATATAAACCCTCAACCAGAAACAGTAAACCCTAAGCCCTAAGACTTGTACTGTACACTTTCCGTGACAGCTGGTCAATGATGCATGCGTTGAAAGTGACGTGAGTGTGCCTTTGTGCTCCTCAAGCTTGCGGATGGCACGCTAGAGCATAAACAATTTGCGGTATATAGGCCATATATAGATAGTTGATAGTATCTATAATATATATGTATATATATATATATATATACAGATACTATCTACTTTCCTGTCTGTCTACGATATTTTTTAAAGGGGGTGACACTGGGCTCCTGAATAGTCACACAAACTGTCAGTTCGAGGTCTGTAAAGTGCTCAAGAGCCTCGCACATGCTAATGTCCACCCGTGGGGTTTTCATGAGGTAGGTAGCTAGAGGCGGGGGCGTTGAGTTGCACCAAGAGTTTGTCGGACTGGCTTCATGTTCAGATGGGTTTCGGCATGCCTGCTGTGCTGCCCACAGACGGTGCGCGCGCAAGCTGAACGTACCTGCCCCGAAAAAAACGCGATGCCTGGCCTAGACCGCCATCCAATTATTGCGCATGGTGATGCCCAGGCAATGCCTGTCCCGAAGGTTCATGGTTGACTTCTGGCAATCCCTGAGCCCGGAGAAGCCGAAGCCTCCCCCCCCCTCCTGCCCTCAGAGGGCACTGAGTCGTCGTGGTGCCCTTGGCGGGAAGAGACCGCCTGAAGCAGAACAGGTCAAAAGGAGAGCCTTCTGGCCTGAGATGGAGGCTTCACCTCATCGTGTAGCGCGGAAGCTTTAAATTTACTTTTTCATTCGCACACCATCAATCTTTGCTTTTCTCTCTCGCGCTTCCTATCCTTACCACGCATTTGAACCCACAGCTGTGATACAGTACTCTCTCGAGGTCATCATGACGGGTGTCATATCAAAGGCTCTATGTTCTCACGACCTCACACGTGGACACTTCCTCCGCAAGCTAGATCACCGAGGCCCCCACTACGACAAACCCACACCGCAACTTCAGAACACATGAAATTTGCACTCTCAGTTGCAGCAACGTGCGATCCGAATGCGACATACCACCTGCGCCCTGTAAGGATTCTATGATCTTACCAGAGCCGATGCACAAAGGCAGCACCGGACTGCTAAGCCCCCAGCCCAATGCTCTCTATCCCTTTAACTAACCTCCAGACTTTGAGAGCACTTTCCGGCTGCGAGCCATGCAAGGCCCCTAAACCCTAAACCCTAAACCCTAAACCCTAAACCCTAAACCCTAAACCCTAAACCCTAAACCCTATAAACCCTAAACCCTTCAAACCCTAAACCCTAAACCCTAAACCCTCTCTACGATCTCCCGCCAAGCCCCCTTGAGAAACCTCATCGGCGGCTGGACTACGATGGGCGTGGAGCCAGTGGAGCTGGCAGGGGCCCCTGCAGTTCCAAGGTTCAGTTGGTTTCGGACAAGGGGGGGGGGGGTCGATGGGGTCCTTGCAGGGTTTAGGCCAAGGCTCAAAAAACCTTCGTTTTTGGGGCTTTTTTGCAAGACCCAGAATCCATATGAAGTTGCTTTCGGGCACGCGTCCTCGCAAGGGGTCCTCGACGTGCTCCTCTGCCTGCCCACAGCCGACGCTGCAGTCTGCGCCCCATGAATGCTGCTTTCCCCTGAACCCTCAACCCTAAACCCATTAACCCATGTTTGGGCTCACCAACCTTTTCCTCCACTTGGCAAACTCAATGCCCCCACGCTCCAGAAAACTATAATGCCCTCACCAGGCATCACCAGGCTACAGCATCATGGACCCTTGCGAGGACCCTATGCTGTACAGAAAGGCTCCGTGGTACAACAGAGTCGGACCTTCTCTCCTGCGCGCAGGGGTTGCACCTCAGTCGGGCAGTGCTGAATCCCGGAAGCATCCGCATCAGATCAATTCTCATGCGTGGTTTCGACTGAGCCTTGAAAACAGCGGAAATGTGGAGATGTTGAAGATCATCATAATGCTGCAGTTGCGGATTCCATGATGGTTGGCCAGAGGGCACCCTCTAAGGGCACAGACAAAACCGAATTTGGCCCGGGTTCCCCTGCGAGGGCTTAGTTTTTGGATTGGTTTAGGGTTCAGGGTTTAGGGTATAGGCTTGGGTGTAGTTTGGGTTCAAGAGTTGTGAATTCGCGGTCTCGAGGGCCCGGGCCGAGACAGAGCGCGGGGCGGCCGCAGCGCCAGCCCTGGCTCGGGGCCCTATAAACCCTAAACCCTAAACCCGCAGGAGGTCACCTCAATGGGAGAACGGGCGCCACATGCGTTTACACGGCTTAGGAGCTTCGATCTCCGGTACTCCGCAGGAGCAGCTGTTGCTCTGCTTTGGAGGCGCACAAAGAGTGTCCCCGTGCGGGGCCCTTGCGGTCACACGCCAAAACCTCCAACTTACCATGCCGCCCTGCACCGAGCCACCTCGTCCGCAGCTCCTGCGTGGCGTAGGCAGCATGCGGCGGGTCCTCGCGTCCCGAAGGGCAAAGTTCTCATCAGAGCGCGACTTTATGGGGTAGGGTTCCACTTGCTGGGCAAAACAGCTGACGCCACAGAGGCGAACCCTGAAAAAAGAGAGAAGCCTCCAACGCCAAGCTAAAACCTCAGTGCCAACTGAGCTGTGGGAGATTCCGAATTCCGACGAGGGCCTCCCCAAAAAAGAAAAGAAACGAGGAACGCAGCGAAGAGATCAAGGAACTTTGGGTCCCAACTTAGGTCCTGGACTTTGTGGGCCTGCGTGGCATGGTGGACCACCGATGGGCGCTTGACCTGCAGCTGCCATTCAAGCGTGGGGGAGATGCCTCTTTTTGCAGGTCTGCATTCGTGAAATCTCACATTACTGCATATGCATATAATGCATTACATGTATCTACATATTCTTATGTATTTATTTATTTAGCTATTTGCATTTGCTTAGTTAGCAGTGTTTCTTTTCATATGTATGTTTGTATTCCTAAAGCTCAGTGAGCCTACGGCCAGGCACGAAACCGTAGACTGCCCGCAGCTGCAAAGTTCGGAAATTCGAGGGTTAGGAGGCGCAGGAGTTTTTGCGACAGTGAGGGACCCGTAGAATAGACTGGCTTAAGGTTTTGGGTTTGGGATTCCCATATAACAAGGACCCCAAGAAGCTACCCCTAATTTTGGAAACCCCAGGTAGGTCAGGGCACGTGTTCTTTCGGGATGCCCCTAAACCGACCGGAAGCCCAACACACTAACGGCTAAAGCCTCTAAAATTGACAGCGAAGCTGTCACCAGACCGGCAGTTGGTGTACTTGATCAAGAAGGGCGCATCACATTCTTAATATGTTTCAGCTGGTTCGGATTCAGCTGGCTGACATTCTGAGGTGGAACATCAACACTGGCATCACTGGTGAGAAGAACCCATGGAGGGCTACACCCACTCAGAGATTCCGCGGAAACTGGGAGATATGGGACTCATCCACAGTTCACACAGCCCGCTGCCTCGCCATGCCATGAGCCTGGCCTAGCAAGCAAAGAGGCGCGTGGAACAGGCGTGCTGGTTCTTTCGACATGCCACCTTCAAAACCCAAAACCCAAAACCCAAAACCCAAAACCCAAAACCCTAAACCCTAAACCCTAAACCCTAAACCCTAAACCAAACTGTAGAACCACGTCTCCGGCATCAAGCCACTGCATCAAACCAGGAAGCAGGCCTGATGCCATCGGGCGAGCTGCCGTTGACCTGACACTCGTTGAACTCTTCTGGGGGGGGGGGGGGGGGTGCCATCTCTTGGGGTCAGGGGAACAAAACAACCCTAAACCCTAAACCCTAAACCCTAAACCCTAAACCCTAAACCCTAAACCCTAAACCCCTAAACCCCTAAACCCCTAAACCCCTAAACCCTAAGCAGCAGGGCTTGCCTTCCGGATCTCCGGATGCTTGGCTGCCACGTGGCCCGCGTCTGGCGGCTTCTCCGCTGCGACCTCCTTGCCACGCTCTTTAGGGTTTAGGGTTTAGGGTTTAGGGTTTAGGGTTTAGGGTTTAGGGTTTAGGGCAGAAAAGGAGATGAGTTTGCAGATGTCCTGAAGCTTGGGGTCTTCCATCTTGCTTCGAACGGATGCGATCCACCCTATTGCAGATTTACCCGCACCACATCGTGGCATGCGGCATGACCCTTTTGCTGCTGACGCCGCACCTCAAGAGGCAGTGTGGGGGATTGTTGTCTCTGCCTGAAAAGCGGGTCGAAAATCGACCCAGTCCCAAGGGGAACACGTCCAGAATTTCTAGACGTCAGAAAATGACATGGTCTGCTTGTGAGACCTCTGCTCACATTCAAGATCCGAACTGTTCGATGCCCGACTTGCCGGTGTAGAGACCTGCGGCGATCTGGCCAATTGCAGCAAACATTGCGATTCTGCCGTTGTTGAGCTCCCGGGACCTCATCTCATCCGAGTAGTCATCACCCACCAAAGGGAGAGGGTTCCCGAAATTTCCAGGCTCCTTGCTCTCGTCTTGCACGAAGACTGTGGCCTCCAACACGGCGATGATGGCGATGGTGATGAGGAAGCCCGCCTGACCGGCGCCGACGGTGCAGGCGGAGACGTCCTTCGGCACGCCCTCCATGCCCGGAAGCTGCACCAAGCTCTGTGTAAGCATGCCAAGCGCACCCATCATTGCCAGGCGCCCGTGCTTAAGCTCCTTGGCCCGAAAGTCCTTGAACGTCGCCTCGTCCTTGCAAAGCCCAGCAGGATCAAAGAAGCCCAGCGGCTCCATGGCCCCGATTTGGCTCTCGGCGCTGAAGTTGCACGCCACGCTCTTGGCGCTCTTTGCGCTCTTGCGGCCCGGGCGCTTCGTGACGAAGCTCAGGCTGCTCAGGGCCACGACTCCGGAGGCCGCGGCCAGCGCCGAGGTCATGCCAAAGCGCGACTCGGAATGCGTGGACGGCACAACGGAGCCCCGGAGTGCAGACGACTGGACCTGGGAAGCCCCTGGCACCACGAAGGCCTCGGTGTTTGGCACAGCCATCAGGGAAGCCATGACTTGGAGCGGAAGTCGAGGAAGCGAAGGCAAAGCCAGAGAACGATCTGAACGAGTCTTTGAGCCCATGCATGCATTTCAGAGACCCTCTGAGACTCTGAGCAACAGCAAGAGAATGTCCACATACAGCGCGGATCTTTGCAAAGGGAGGCAGATCAGTACACCGACCTAGGCCGGATGGTAGCGAGCAAGCATGAAGAGAAAAATCTTGGAATGCTTCGGGCCCTCAAGCCCCTGGAGCCCTCCCCCCCCCCACCTCCTTTGGAGTGGCCTTCGTCGTAGCCTTGTCCGCCTCGCAGTCAACCTGGAGCGTGGCCGCATACCTGGCCCGTCAGCTCTTGTTTTGGCTTTTTCTTTTTTTTCAAGATTTCGGCCCGGAGCCCCGAAAGGCGCTGAACATCACGCTCCCAAGGACTACGAAGAAATTTTGCCTGCGTTGTGCTTGTTGTAGGGGTGTCTGTCGGGAAATAGGACGTCGATCTGCAACATGTGTTGACCGTTGAACGATGCGGTGGAGCAAAACGCCGACTGAACTTCCAGACAAGAACCACAAAACCCCCAGCCACGGGCACTCTGACTGGATGACGCAGTGAGAGATCTCTTGGTGAACCTGGCTCGTTCGCCGGAGAAACGCCGGCAACCAAAAGAATGGTATGTTCGACCATGGTGAAACACAAGTAGCCAGAATTGCTTCCACTTCATCGAGGCGAAAGAAGCTAGCACCAGATGTCAGTATATGTCCACCCCTGCGCATATTACAGCGCTCGATGAATGGCCTGCATCAACCTAAAGCCACATCTGCAGCATGGCGCGTGATCTCAAGCGGACAAGATGCGTGTAGCAAACATGCACAATACCAATACAGAAGCTTCACGTGTGGCATGAGGACCCTAGCCCAAGCGCTCAGAGAGATAGAGAGAGGGAGGGAGGGGGGATACGAATTGCAAGCCTTTGATGCATATACGAGTACCAAAAAGAATGTACAGGTACTGCTTGTGTAGAAACAATGACTACTGAGGCTTTGCTCAGCCAGTATGGATCTCGTAACTCGAGTCCTCAGTCCCTCCCTCCCCTACCTGCTCCGCTAGCAACTTCTCACAGAACGAGCAGAAGAGGTCCGGCTTCACCAGCACGTTGAACCTGGATATCTGATGTTGGCTATTTTGGGCCTTGCATTCGGGGGACCAGCGGATCAGAGAGAAGTCAGTCAGAAGTCAAGTAGTTGCCAGCTTCGTCCTGAGCCCTGAGCCCCAAGAAAAACGAGCCGTCCCCCAAAATGGCTGAGCGTTGTGGCTTGATCTCCTGCAGGAACTCGCTCTCCATGCGGTTGAGCTCCCCGTTGCTAAGGACCTCTTGGGATACATCCGGAACGAGCTGACCTTCTTTTCTCAGGGATCCCCTGCCCCTCCCTTTGGGGCTTCTGTGCGCCTGGGCTTGCCGGGTGTCAAGTTCAGGGGATTTGTGCCAGGTCGGCCCTTGGCACCCCTAAAAAACCTTCCAAATCACGGCCCTCCGATGCTCGAAGAGAATCCCAAGGGTCTTAAGAAGACCTGGCGGGGTTACAGCGTAGCAAGACGCAAGTGCACCAACGAGCGACAGTCGGCGCCAGGCGCTTCCACATCATCAGGCAGCCAGCCGTTCTCTTGAAGTGGAGGCTAAAGCAAGGGGGGGGTTTAGGGTTTAGGGTTTAGGGTTTGGGGTTTAGGGTTTAGGGTTTAGGGTTTAGGGGGTCCAGGGGTCCAGGGGCCAAGGCGACGAAACCGGGGCTGCTGTGCTGGGCTATTGGCCGGAAAGAGCTTCGCCAGAGAGCTGTTGCGAACCGGCTTGTCCTGCCGCTTTTGGGGCTTGGGGCTCATGAAGAACCAAACTAAATTTCAGCCGAAAAGAAGCCAAAAAGGGTGGGGGGTTAATTGGCCTCCCTGGTGGGGAGTTCGGCTTGTCAGAAGACTTTGTCCCTTTGCTTCGGCGCTTCTGGCTTGTACTTGGGGCGGGGGGGGGGGGCGGGGTGTCAAGTCGGCCCAAGGCACGCCTCGACTCGCGTGAAGTCGACCACTCCGCAAAAAGTCGACCCATAGACTGTAAACTGTAAATCCCCAAGTACACGCTTGCTTTAAAGGCGCCGGCCCGATGTGCAAAATCGGCATGCGGTGCGAAACTCTCCTTAAAGACTGCAGCGAAATAGCATGAAGCAAGTGGAAACCTTTGGAAGCTGCAAGTGCACGCCTGGTTTTGGACAGCACAACCACGATGCTCTTAGCGAAGCTTGATGACGAAGCACATGCAGAGAAAAAAAAAAACTACAGCATGCGAAGCGAACAGCGCTTGAAATGGTTTTTTGCAAGATCACGCACGCTCGGTTTTCTACAGGGAGCGCAGAATAAAAGAATTGAATCCTCAAGGCCAATACCTAGGCCCCAAACCCTAAACCCTAAACCCTCAATTTAAGCAGGGGTGTTGAACGTGGCCCTGCGCGAGGCCCGCGCGAGCTGCCGCGAGGTCCGCGCGAGGTTGGGGTCCAGGACTGGCCCCAAGCTCGACGGCAGCAACCCCAATGTAAGATCACGCGGCAAGATGCCCCAATACACTAGCAACAAGTTGTCTAGGGAAACTCAGCCAGAGCTTTCCTGAAACTAGAAAAGCCTCTTGCCACTCAAGAACCGGATTGTCATGCTAAACTAAGTCCCGTGAGACACATGCGTCCCCAACCTCGAAATCACACGAATTCAATAATTATCTTCAAGCTGTGGCAAGTCAATGCTTATGTACCGTCCCGAGCCTACAAACCTATAGCCTGTATGTGTAGATCCCCAAGGTCACGCTGTCGCGGGTCGACTTTTACACAATGCGGGTCGACCTAAGCCCCGTGCCCAGTAATCCTTTGGTCCCTGCGGCGTTCGTTTTTGGATTACGGTTCAGGGTTTAGGGTTTAGGGTTCAGGGTTCAGGGTTCAAGGTTTAGGGTTGAGTTTCGAGCAACGAAGAACCGCAACAGTCCTCCCACATCTTGTCAGCAAGGAGTAGCGACCTAAGAAGCACGGACCAAGCACAGCCATCTCTGCAGGGGATGTGCGGTTGTCACAAATTCCAGAATAGAAGAACATTACAGGGGTACACTCCTAGAGGGACTACAGGGTCGCTGCAAGAAGGCAGGAACAAAGGGATGAAGGTTTCCTGTGGCCATGAAGCCATGGAATGTCAATGAGTGCAGGGCTCAGAGCTTCAAAGTATGTGACTGTAGCAGGAGAACTGTAGCAGAGCCGTCGAGGTGGCAATTCCGCATTTTTCCACATTCTTCCTCGTCATGGGCAGACCCCTCATCACCTGAAACCTGTAGCCTTGTGCCGGCTTGCTGGCGAGCCGCGTGAGGAACAGTGGACGCCAAGTGCAGGCGTGGAGGGTAATCCTGGAGCTCTCTTTGAACCTGCCAAGGTGTTTGAGGGGTTTACGGTCTCAGGGCCTGGGGGGCCTTGGGGGGGGGGGGGGGAACCTTCCTTTTTCAGAGTTGCCTGCTCAAGTAAATCACGCTCACGATGAAGGCGGAGACGCTGAAGATGCCCTGCATCGACTCAGGGCTTCTCTGGGCGCCACGAGGTCTAGGCCTTTAGGCCTTCCGGCTTGTCGTTTACGGTGGGATTCTGAGGTGGGCCTCCAAGAAAGAAACCCTGCAAAACTTGGCACCTTCTCAGATGCTCGAAGACATTCCTAAAGACATCGCAAGCCCTGACAGCTCCGACTGCCTGGTGGAGGATGCTCAGGATGAAGGAGCAAACGTGCAACGCCGAACAGTCGTGGACCTCAGTCTGGTGAGCAGCCTAGGGGGGTTTAGGGTTTAGGGTTTAGGGTTTAGGGTTTAGGGTTTAGGGTTTAGGGTTTAGGGTTTAGGGTTTAGGGTTTAGGGTTTAGGGGTTAGGGGTTTAGGGTTTAGGGCTTCCAGGTTCAGGTTGAACATGCGGGGATTGGGCCATATATCGCAGCCATGCTTGACCCTGCACCCACCCTACGCCCAAACAAGAACCTGCAATGCCAGCACGTTGACGACATTAACATGCAGTTCTTAATCGGGACTATTAAGGATCCCAAGCATATGCCGTTATGCATCTATGTGCGGTCCCAAGCACAGACTCCGGGAAAATCCGGTTCAAGTCCGGTTTGTTGTGGTAGGGAACCTGGGCGATAGACGGCCCTGAGCACCCACCATCCTAACCCTAAGCCCCAAACCCTAAACCCTAAACCAGTTCGAGGGCTTACGTCTGGGACTGTGGAGTTTCAACTGCAGCTGGCCTCTGCTTTGGAGGCTAGAGACTTCACGACTTTAGGGTTTAGGGTCTTTTTTGGGCATGCCAAGAGGGGCCTCACAGGAGCGCAGCGCTTGAACAAGCCCGACAGCTGAAGCTTGGTCAAGAGCCGAAACGCGCCAACTTGCAAAAACAATCAGAAGAGCCAAGATGGGCTCTGGGTGTCCACGTTTGATGGGCAGGGCTCGGAATAACACCTCTACGGCGCATTTCCTTCAGCAGAGCTGCCAAGGTCCTACCACTCTCTCTCCCTAACCCTCCGTTCGCCACAACCGGCCTCAAAGAAGAGCCGGAACATTTGGTTGCCCTGGCTGGGTGCATCTGAAAGTGGTAAATCAAACTACTGAGCAATTTGTGTTAGAAATCAATCAAAACTCATTCAAGGGAAGTTAAAGTACTTACGAGTCTAAAAGCGTCAAGAAGCCCACCACAAACACACGAATTCTAATCAGTCATTGGGATGAACTAGGAAAAAAGTGAACTCAACTAAGTTGACTCAACGTACTCAATCTGAACCTAATCACCACTACATGCGAGCAATTACTACGGGAGAAAAACATTAATGCCAATTCCTTTTGTTCGCTTGTTGATGTCGATGAGATGTGCTAATATGGCGTTACGGAGTTCAGCTTTCCATTAGCTACTCTGAAATTACACGGACGACAACTTGCCCACAAGAACAGTGTCTCACTAGCTTACGCTGCTTTTCTAACCGCAGGATCCCACCTGATTCTCCCGGAGTCCTGGCTGCTACCTTTCCCCACAGCCTTGCTTATGAACCTGCCAGTCTCAAGTTTCCGCGTTAAAAGGCTCTTGGGCGCTCGCTTCGTTTCACTTCTCTCGCTTTCTCATCAAGAAAAAGCTGGTGCGAGAGAAACACAGCGAGCGAAACGAACGGCCCGAAACAACCGTCACGTGCTCCCTTTTAGTTACACAGGGGCCAGCAAAGTCTTACCCCGAAAGCATGGATTCTATTGCAATCTTGTTTGGCTTACGAGCAGGCTTCTAGCACCTTTAATGATCTGCCTTCGAGCCGCGGAATGAACTATGTGGGAACGAATTCAACGTGCCGGGGAGCTTCTCTCAGTTGAGACAAAGAACACCAAAGGTTTGCATTCGGCTGCCTGTTCGTCATTTTGTAATTAATTTCTCTCATTGCATTCGTCAGCCTCCAATGGCCAAGCGTGCGCTGCCACACAGAATGCACATGACAATGTTGCATACGCTTCACTGACTCTAAGACTCTAAAAATCGACATTACATTGCAGTATATTTTGAAGTTCGAGAAACTTCGTGAATGACTTGCATTTGGCTTTAGTTTTATCTATTTGTTGCTCTTGCCTTCAACTCTTTTTCTGACGAATCCCCCCCACCCCAACCCCCCACCCCCCACTCCCGCCCTCCCACCACCAGCCCTCCCACCACCAGCCCCCCCCAGCCCCACCCTCCCCCAGGTTGCGTAGCGTTGAGTTAAACAAATGGTGAATCCTCCTGAAACGCGGCTGTTCTACACAGAAACCTCATGCTTAGGGCTTAGCCAGGCTTAGCTGGGCAGAACCACTTCAGAACTTACATCCGGCCTCCATCCGTTGCAACACGTCCGCGTCGGAACGGATGTGGCCTTGTAGTGGCATCCCAAAGCTGACGATTGTTGCAGGTGAAGGCTTTGAAGTTACTTGGGTTCTCAGGTTTCAGTGCAGCACAAGGCTTCGGGCCTTTGAATCCCAGCCTAGTTAAGGGTCGGAGCTCCTCTAGGAGTGCACCCTTCTGGGCCCCGCGACAACATACACAAGCTGCAAAAGCAGCTGACAAGCCGCTCCTCGAGTCCTCTATGCACGCTGTGGTCCTCTCAAAGGCATCTCCTCAGGCGCCCGCGGTGGAAGAAATGGACGGCCGCGCACAACAGCTGAGTCTGGCACGCGCGGCTCCAACATGAACATGCCCAGCTGCTTTTGACACGGAACACCCAGAGCTCAAAGATCGGCTTGGATCCCCTGAACCTTGCCTCACCAGCTCGGGGGGGGGGGGATGGGGGGTTCCGCTGGGGGTCGCGCCTGGAGAGCGCTAAAGCGCTGAGCCGTGGTCTCCTCGGCCTTCGCCAAGGAGTGGCCGGAGCCTCGCACACAGAAAAGGGGGGAAACTAAAGGCCAAGAACTTGGCCGAGACATCATACTTTCTCTTCACACTGTTAGCTCCAGCAACTCAAGCTACTCGCTACACCTCAAGAAATCTCGGCACTCAGCATCGGCTTGGCAGAAATCTTCGGGAGGAGGCTTGCACAGCACAGTTCCCCGAACTTGAGATGTTCCCCGTTGTACGAACAGTCCTTTAACAGGGATTGTAGTACCCCCCTGTATGATCCCTACTGTATGTAGGCCTGCTAGTCTAGGGGGGAACATCCCCAACCCCTAACCCTCAGCCACCTTGCTCCGCGTCGTCCGTCATCGGCGATGCCTGGAGGCAGGCACTCTGAATCTTCGGTAAGAGCTACTATTTTGCTTAAGAACCCCCCAAAACAAAGAAAAAACAATAATCCGCATATTTCCCTTATAAGGAGGCTTTTGTTTTTTTTTGGTCTTAAGCAATTCGTAGCTCTTGCTTGGGTGCCATGAAAGCCTCTGTGTGTGCTCTTGACTTCTTCAGGCTTGGTGGCTTCGCCATTGGAACCCCTTCGTCTCAGGAGAACTATCGGCTTTGGTTTTCTGTTGCCTCCCTTCTTCTCAAGCTTCGCAGAACTCATAAGACAAAGGGCGAGCTGGCAGTGAAGCTTCCCTCTTCCCCCGTCCCTTCAAGGGCAGCCTGCTAGCCGCGGGGACGCCCGAACATGGCTCTAAAGCTCACGGTCATTTCTTGCTTTTAAGGCTGGCTCTTCTACTGAAGTGCTGTCGTATGGTATGGGCTTGGGGATGGCTGAAGATTGGGGTGCCCAAGGCTTGAGTTTTTTGGGGCTCAAGAGCTGTTTCCTTGCGAAGCAGGGGTCAAGGAGATTCTCTGTGTGTATACTATATAAATATGTCGGGGCTGCTGTCCTGTGAATGTTCTACACTCTGCATCGAACAGGCATATTGAACTCATTAGATCCGCGTTTTGGCGACTTGGGCTGTTGCATCATGTCATGGAATTCAGGGCTTGAACCGCAATGCCGCAACTCGCAAAGACTCTCACAGCCAAACCCCGGGAACAGGGGCAAAGCGATCAGCCTCAGCCCCACGTCCATAAGAGTGCCTCTAAACCCTAAACCCTAAACCCTAAACCTTGAAATCTTGGTAGAGACCTCGAGCTTCGCAAAGGAAAAGCTGACAGATGGCGTCGGAGCTGCAAGCGGCAGATGCTTTTGGCCGCTTTTGGCCCCTTTTGTGGCAGATTCTTCTGGCCTCCCTAATCAAGACATGATTGCAGCCGTTGTGATCTGCTTCGCAGCGTCAGCTGAGTACTCGGACCTGAGAAATTCTCTCAAGAAAGAACCTAAAATTGCAGTAGTGAGCTTATTAATAATAATACTACTAGCAATAATAATAATAATAATAATAATAGTAATAATACCAATAGCAATAATAATAACAATAATAATACTAGTAACAATGATCATAACAATCATAAATAATCATAACAATAATAGCAATAATAGCAATAATAGCAATAATAACAATAATAACAATAATAACAATAATAACAATAATAACAATAATAACAATAATAACAACACTTAGCAACGCAGGTACGCTCGAGCGAGCTCTCGCTTAATCACTTGCACACAGAGCAGGACAAGCACCGAAGGGAGCCCTTCCTTTTTCCTGCTCAGGCATGGGGTCGAGCAGAGGAAAATTGAACATCCAAAGCGACATCTGCTCGCCCTGTGCCGATCATGGCACGGGACCATCTGAGCTCCCCCTCTTACAACTCTTCCCGAGCGAGCGCAGGCAAGAACCAAACAGCTACAGCCCCAGGCTTTCACAGCCTTAAGGCCGCAGACCGCAGTCGCCCGCACTCAAGAGAGCACCTCGCACAGAAAGTCCCTCGGGGCGAGCATCGAGAGATGCGATCAATCGACTTCTTCCAGCGGCATGTCCCCCGGTGCATACCGATCGGCCTGCAGATGAGGCGGCGGTGTGCACCAAGACTGGTCACGACAGAAGTGACAAAATCGTAGAACTCGATCGCAGTGGATACAAAATGGCGTGAAGAGACCTCTTGCCCAGGGCTCCGCAGGCATGCGATCAGCCGCATAGCATGGAGCGTCTCTCCCGACACAAAACAGACCTGTCATTAGTCCACAGTCCACGCATGGCCAGAGCCGCGCCAGCGTAGCGTTATCATCCTGCGAGCGCGCTGCAGCCATGCAGGGTTGGGTGGGTGGGCCAAAAACAGCCGATCAGCTCTTGTCTGCGGGGTCGATCGCCTTTTGCCAAAATGGCGACGGATCCGCAAACTCGAGCAGACCGAAAAGCAAGTGAAAACCTGCAGACCAAAGTGAGACTCAAACCCCAGACCAACCTAACCGGTGGTTTGGGAACCACTTAGCAACGCAGGTACGCTCGAGCGAGCTCTCGCTTAATCACTTGCACACAGAGCAGGACAAGCACCGAAGGGAGCCCTTCCTTTTTCCTGCTCAGGCATGGGGTCGAGCAGAGGAAAATTGAACATCCAAAGCGACATCTGCTCGCCCTGTGCCGATCATGGCACGGGACCATCTGAGCTCCCCCTCTTACAACTCTTCCCGAGCGAGCGCAGGCAAGAACCAAACAGCTACAGCCCCAGGCTTTCACAGCCTTAAGGCCGCAGACCGCAGTCGCCCGCACTCAAGAGAGCACCTCGCACAGAAAGTCCCAGGCCCAGAGCTTCCCACTCAAACGGCACGAAAGCCAGGCACAAGAGCAGGAGGCCAACAGCACTGAGCCGTCTGCCAGCCTGCTTCAGTACCACGAACGAGGTTGTTTCTGGACGGCCAATCAGCCGGATTTCCATCCGTTGAAACACGATCGATGAAAACATTGGCTCGAAGTTCGAATGCAAGATCCCAAAAGACTTCGATGATCTCGACGAGGTCTTCATGGGACGAGTATCCCTTGATCAGTGCTGCTTCCACTCCTTCGGAGTCTATCAGCATAACTACGTCTCTGCCCCTCACTTGATCTGCGAACGTAGCCAGCGCCAGCACCGGGGCGATCAGCTCAACGGGAAAGATCTGAGTCGCCCTCGGGACCCACTTCCGAATGACCGCCTCTGGGATCGCTTCGGAGAACTGGATCGGCGCCGCTCCTCTCCGATCGAAGCAAACAGCCCCTATTCTCTCCGGGCCATTTTCCTTCTTTCTGAGGTCCGGCGCGAACCCGTCCGTGAAGATGACCACGTCAGCGGGCTTTGAAGTTCGCAAAGCGATCTGCCTGGGTGGCCCTTCGCGAATCAACTTCTTCCATTGCACGAGCGACCGCCTCAACGGAGCCGACAATGAAGAACGCAGATCACTTCGATCTCGGGAGTATTGACGTTCGGAGAGGGGCCTCAGGAAAGCCCTTCCCACTTTGCCCCAGAGATGGCTCGCTCCGAACATCAACTTGCCCTTGAGCTTGCCAGCCGATCCTGGGTCCAGAGAGCCCGACTCCAGGATCGAATCGATCAACGAGACTAGCTCTTCTTTCCTGTCGTCCTTGATCGCTAGCTCCAGGCGGTCGAGATCGTAGGTGACCCCGAGCACGATCGGCTTCGAGGTCTTCTGCAACTTCTTCTGCTCGAAGCCCGCGCCCAGCAACCAGTGGATCCCGATCGCAACCTCATGGGCGGAGTCGATCGTCTCTTCCGTCTCGAAGCCGTACTTGTCGTCATAAAGGTTAAAGGCAACGAGGCCGAAGAGCTTCTCCAGGATCTCATTGATCGCAGCCGAACGTCGATTAGAGTTGTAGACCGCCGAGACCACTCCTTTTGCCTGACCATCGTCCGGATCTCTGAGGCAGATCACGCTGAACTTCCTGTGCTCCGGAGCAATCGGAACCTGACGGTAAGCCTTCTTCTCGTCGAGGACCCAACCTTTCAGCTTGGCCTCCCCCGAGCGGGAACGCAGTTCGCGAAGAGCCGCAACATTCAGGTCCGTTCCCGGGAGCTGGAGCTTCTCGACGATCTGTGTGATCTGGTTGATGAGGTTGGAGGTAGCACTATCACAACCGCGGACTTTGTTCTTCTGCACGACTGCGAACCGCTGGGTCGGGATCCAGTCGTCTGCCCCTACACACGCAGAGACCTCTGCCTCGGTCGCGAAGGGGCCAAGGCAAGAGCCGTCTGCAACATCTTCAAGAGAGGCTTTCCAAATGGACCTTAACTCGTCGGAAACTGGCACAGCCCGAACCCGCTTAAGGATCTTAGCCCGAATTTCCCAGGCCCGAGCCAGAGCATGCTCGACGGAGAGGACCGTCTGCTGCTTCTCATAAGCCGGCCAACGACCGGATTTCGAGATAGGTCCCACGATCGGAAAACCATGCAGCAAGAGCTTCGGCAGGTCTTTGTCGAGCGAGCCTGCCCGAAGCAACAGAGCCTTGTACAGCGCGACGTGGCACGTCGTTCCCAATTGGCAAGGCTGCCCATCGGCTCGTCCACGAAGGAGGCGACGAAGAGCAGGATCTGGGAGCGAATCGATCATGCTCGCAGTGTGCGGCAGCAGGAGCTCGGCTTGCTGTTTCCAGAAATCCAGATCTCGACGGCGAGCGGAGTTCAGCACTGCCCCTTGCGTTGTAACCAGTTGAATGTTGTCAAGGAGCTGCTGGGAGAGCGGGGGCGGCACGGAGAAGGGGTGGTCGACCTTGAGTGCCCACTCGATCGCTTCGCCGGGCTCAACCTCGCAATCCAGCAGGGGCTTTACAGCCCCCCTCTTGAGCTGGTAGCCCGCTGCCTGTGCGAGAGCGGCGCCCTGGGCCTGACGATGCATCTTCCAATTCGCGGCCTGGCCCAGTGCGTGCTTCCGATCGGCTGCGGGCACCACCAGCGCGAAGCTGCGACAGAACTGAGGGCACGAGCGGCTATGTATGTGACATACCGCGCGTGCTAACGTTCGACAAAGCGGCTGGGGGTAGACCTGAGCCGCTTTAGTGGAGCAGACCCATCGGCCATGCCAAAAGGTTGTTCCAAGCAGCTTCTTGTGCTTATGGCGTTGCGAGCAGGTACGCATGCCCTGCCCACACGCTGCATGGGATATCAGAAAGCGCGTGGGCTTCTTAGAGCTGGCACCAAACTCGCATTGATCCAAGTAGGTGAACTGCAGCGCGAACTTGGCGATGAGGTTCAGGACGGGCGGAACAAGCCACATGAAGCTATCGGCCGGGTTCTCGAGGGAAACATCTCCACCGGTTTGCAGGACCGCTTCCATGAGCTCGATCGAAAGAAAGAGCAGATGGTTGCCGAGCCAGAGGTCGTCGCGATCACCTGGGTTGAGGCCATCTAGACCGAGAGGTTGGCCGACTGAACGAAGCGGCGCTGGCCCTGGTTGTCGTGTACGAACAATGCTGAAAGTGCCGCAGGGTGTCCCGAGGTGCAGGAAGAACACGGCCCCTGCGAGCAGAAGCGTGATGAGGAAGCCAAAGAAAGCGGCGTCCAGCAAGTCCTGCGGCTCTTGGACGAGGCCAGCTTGTTCCACGTCGATGGGCGGGAGCACTGGCACGCCGAGCTTGGCAACCTCAGCAGTGAACCCTGCCTCGCCTGCGAAGACCTCGAGGAAGAAGGGCCCGAACGGGAGCACTTGAGCCACCGTCCTCGGCACCTGTGACCAGGAATGCCATGGGTATGTAGACTGAGAGGGATCAGCATTCAGCTGCGAACGGGCAGCGTCAACCGCTGACTCACAGAACACATCCCCATGCGGATTCCGCTGAGAAGGCGGCGGCCCCTCCGCCGGAGGAGAAAAATTCCCGGGCGGAGGGGCCACCACCTTTCAGTGGTTCCCGTGATAGGGGTGTTTCTGACCACACTGCACGCAAGAATGATCATCTTTGCACGAGTCACCGAAGCGGCATCCGAGGGAGCAGTTATACCAGGGGCAACGCTTGCGACCCGAGTATGTGAACGACATGAGCTTCTTCCACTCCGCTTCGGGCACGCGCGTGTCCCGGGCAACGAGCTTAACTCGTCCTTCGGCACCGCGAGCTTTGCCCCCTCCTTTTCCAGTGGCTTTCTCTTCTTTAAGCTGCTTGAAAAGCTGCTTCTGCTTGTCCCGCTTGGCCTTGTTGCGGCGGGCACGAGCGGCCTTCTCCTTGGGGAGGGCAGCGTCCGGTGTAGGCGAGCGCGAGCGCTTGGCCCCGCGCGCACCCACATCGAATTCCATTTGCTTGAACTTGTCCAACTCGGCGGCCGAGCGGGCATCGTTCCAGAGCTGCTTATGGTGTTCCAACACCTGCAGCAGAGCCGCTGAGAAGGTGGGGTAGTCCTTGCGCTTGTCGTTGTTGAGCTTGTAGACCTTGCGCCGAAGGAGAGTGTCCGCTGACAGCAGAACTGCTAGTCCTCGGTTTTCGTGGCGCCACTCTTCGAGCTCTGCTAAGTAACGAAGAGGACCTGCCGCAAAGGAGAACTCGCAAATGTTGAGGAACTCGAGCGCCACGAAGAAAGCGTGAAGACGGTCCATGACCTGCGACTCCGAGGCAATGGCTGACTTGGAGTCAGTTTGGACCACGCGCAGGAGATCCTCCGATGTTTTGGCCAAACTTGCGGTTTGGACGATCGTCTCGTTCCGAGTCCGCATTTCGGCGACCTCATAGAAAGCGACCGCCCCGTGGACCATGTAGTCACGGTGGATTCTCTCCACGAACTTCCGGTGCGGCTCTTTGTGATAGGTGAGGAGCACGTCGGGGTGCGCCGCCACGAAGAGCTCGCGAAACTCCGCGTGGTCCTCCCCGGGGATCTCCGGCACCTTGCTGGGCTCCTCCTCCATGCGAGCGCGGCGAGCTGAGACATGCCGCCGGCGAAGCTCCGAACTTGTTCTCGTCGGGGACGATCGCCCTCATGGTGGTCTGGACAACTGCAATGGTGTCCCCGAGCATGGAAAGCGTGGCCACTGTGTTGAGACCATTGTCCGCGAGGAGCAAGCACAAGGGCTCCGGCAGTCGATTTCGGCCAAAAATTTGCCGAACGGCCAGCTCCGGGATCTTGTCGTCGGGGTACAGCGTGCGATCCACCATGATGGCGAGGAGTGCACGGGGGAGACGGGAGCTGCGAGCCGTGGCAACCTGTCTCACCCGGGCTGCAAAGAAAAACCCAAAAAGGGAGGGTTGGGAAGGGAACCCAACAGATCACACTCTTTCGTACAAGCTAAGGTCAAGCGAGCACGACGTTATGCGCGCGCGCGACGTCAGGCCGAGCGCGCGCACAATGCCTACAAAACAGCTGCACATCCGGTAGCAGCGCTCCGATGTGAACACAGTCCTCAGCACGGGCACGACCACAGGCGATCGTCTGCATATCCTCAGCTGAGCACACATGGATCTTGTGTTCATAAGCGGAGCCCTTCTTGGGATTCTTGGTGAAGAACTCCGTCACGTTGAGCTCAAAGTCCTCCCCGTCATCGACTTCATCCTCGGGGAGAACGCATTTAGGATCATGGTATCGTTTGTAGTCCGCCACAATGTCTTTGATCATGTTGGCGGAAACTCCTGTCCGCGAGCGAGCGTACTTCTGGACGAGCGGGCCTGGATTCTTCCAATTGGCTTGAAGGCCAATGCTAGGAGCTTGATGTCCCTGGCGGACCGCTTGATCCAGCAGTGTCACTCTACATGAGTGCCATTTGAGCGAGGGGATCGCCGTTAGAAGGTCCTGGTTGAGTTGAGCGTCATGACCCACGTGCCAGAGACAGTGAACGAGCCATTGCAGGGACCTGTCATAGGCTGGAGCGTGGCATGTGAAGGCCTCCCGGGTGTTGAGCTCGGGCACCCAGAAGTCCCTCTCTAGATCCTCCGCAAAGTGAGCCTGGAACAAGGACCAACCAGCGCGCAGCCATGGAACCTGGCCAAAGGACACGTCGGGGACCAAGAACTTGGTGCCTCGACGCTTTCGTTCCGTTTTGGTTTGCCACGAAACTCCGAAGAGGCCCTCCTCGTTCAACTCGAGCTCGGTGGGCTTCACGTGAACAGCATCATCAAACCTGAGAGAGGCCATGATCATGCACGTGACCCACCATAGGAAGATGCGCACTGGCACACTCCATCTGTCATCGGTGATCGCCGTCTCCAAAGCTACCACGAGGGGAAATGGAAATGCCGGCGCCTCCTTGAGCGGCCTGCCTCTCTTATCAAAGATCTGTTTCTCAAGAGCGAGGATCCGAGCATCATCCAGATCCGGGATCTCCAGGTCGATACGGAACGCGACCCACTTTATGGCTGTCCGGAGGGACGGCAGAACGGTGGGGCCGCATTCCTTGGAATCCAAGTAGAGAGCGTACTTAAGGATCCTATCCACAGAGATGGGGTAGAGCGGCATAGCGATCGATGCTGCCCAATCTTCAAGCTTCTCGTACCTGCGAATGTGGCCTGCCATGGTATTCGGCGCACCTGATGTGAAAACAAGATGCCGAAGGCGAGCCTTTTCTGCGGACGAGAGCACCTCTGGAGCTGTCGGACCCCCTGAGGGTGACGCATGGTCCCCGGCTCTCTCGGCGATCAACTTCAGCCGCTGAGCCCACTTCTGCTTCTCGGCCAGCTCTTGATCCAGAAGCGGAGTTGTAGATGAGCTCGCAGGTTGGTTGATCAATCTGGCTTTCGGCCTCGGAAGCTTAGGGGGCGGTAGAAGGGCTTTCACGGCCGACTCCCTTCGAGCAGGCACAGAAGCTGGACTAAGCTCGCCGAAGCATCTTTTAAGAGCATGGCCAGTGCCAGTCTGCAAAGCGACCGATTCATCGAACCATGACTCAGAGGCCTTGATTAAAATCCAGAACTGCTCAAGCATCTGTGTTCTTTCTGCGAGCGCAGCATGGACCTCTGGCTGATCATCCTTGATCAGACTCAGATACTTGGCAGCAAACTCTCCTTCAGAGGCGCAGTCGAGCGCCAGCACAAAGTGAAAGCTTGCCAGCTCACATGAGAGCGCCGCTTCTCGGAACCCGTTGTCAAATTTCGGCCAGGAAACAACTTTCCAAAACCAACGATCGGCACCCTTAACTTTTGGAGCCATGTCCAGGACTGCGGCAGGGCAAGGAGGGGAAAGCGCGAACGCGACCTTCGCGGGCGCGAACGAGCGCGGACCCCGCCCTGAAGACCCGCCCGGACCCGAACCTCCAGCGCGACCCGGGGAGAGAAACTTTTCCCAGCGCGAAAAACAAAACAAGAGGGAGCCGACCGGAGACAGGGTGAGAGGAAAGAACCCCAAACCCCCTTCAGTGCACACACACACACACACACACACACACCCCGACACGCCCAACATGCACAGCACAAGCAAGAACTTGCAAATGCACATGAGCATGTGAGTGAACATGTTGTTGCTGCTGTGTGAAAAATGTGAGCACGACGGTCCTTGATTCGAGCGAATCAAAACTTTATCCTTCACGGATGCTTGCTCCCCTCTTCGCGAGGGTTGGGTCTGTGATCGGCGAACTGCGAACGCTACTGGATCGCTGAACGCAAAAAGAGCGCCCTTTCAACCTTACTGAAACAAGTCAAAACTTCAGCAAGGCGAGCGCCTTTTGGCTCAGGATGAGCCATCCAAGCTCTGACTCGGCCCGAACGACTGGGGAGGGCCTGTCGGTGCCGTCTGCTCAGAGGTCGCCGGGGGCTTTGTCGAACTCGATGCGGCGATCGCCTCCTGAGCCGGTTCCACTCTGGTCCTAGAGGCCAAGAACTCCCTCTCGTTCTTCTGCAAGACCTCGGAGAAGACCTTCGGGGTGATCGCCGCAGAGGTGCGGGAGACGTTCATGTCCGCCCTGAACATGTCCCGCGGAGCTCGCCAGGCTGAACTCCCTCCTTGTTGTTGGCCCCTGCGATCGCCTGCACGTCCGAGGTGCGCTGGTCGAAGCTTGGAGCCACTGACCCAGCGTCCTGATCGGTCAAGGCAGAACGGGTGGAGCGATCCACACTGAGCTGCTGTGCAACAGCAGCAGCGGCCGCATCGGCGATCGCCGGAGGAGCTGACGCCAAGGGAGCAGCCATAGCGTGGTCCGTGATGTGCGTACGGTGAGCGAGAGCTGCGGGGTCCACGTACTCGGGCTGCATCACGAAGAGCTTCGAGCGAGCACGGAGGTGAAAGTCCAGAGCCTCCTCATCCATCGGGAAGTTCGTGACCTGCACCCCGACCTCCTCAAAATTCCTCGTCTTCGAAGTCGCCCACCATGGATCCAGGTGTGCAGCCAGCTGAGCGAACTGCTGGGTCTGATCCGGACACTCCACGCGAGCTCGCTGGGCCCGAACGTGTGTGATTGTCTGGATCAAGGCGGGGCCCGATATGTGGCTGACCGCCAACCAAGTCCCCGGGACCGAGATGCGACCGCATTTCAGGTCAATCCGGTTGTCTGAGTCCCGGTACCTGAATTCCACACGATCGGCGTCATTCCCGATCCCATCAGTTGAGCTCCGATCGGTGACTCGTAGCTCGCAGTTGCACCTGCAATGGTCCCCGGCCAGAACTGTGCCGTTGGGGCCGACCGAGTAGCTGCGACCTCCCACTTCGAAGGAGAACACAGAAACAGTCCACCCCTGGAACACTGCCACCACGATCGATGGCCTGAACCGACCTTGGCAGGCATCTCGGATCAGCATCTCGTCGCAGAACTGCTGCTGCACTGACAAGTCGCTGTCCGAGCGGTAGCCCCTGAGCACCCAGTGGAAGAGGACCTCGTTGCCGTTGAAGAACTGTACGTCCACGTAGGTCGCGGAGGAGCTCCTCATCATCGGCCACACAAATGGCTGAAAAGCCTCGTGGGACAAGGCATCCGCCGTGCGGCTGTCCCAGCGAGCGCAGGGTCCGCCGGTATGCGAACCCACGGTCATGAGCAAGACGGCTTTCACACCATCCAGCGTGTAGTTGGCGAACAGGCTCATCTGGAACCCAGAGCTGGGAGGCATGACCTGGTCCCGTTCCGTCAGAACGTTGATGGAAGAGGCCGCGTTAGCCATGATCTCTTCCACCAGCCAGTTCTGGAACGGGCTGATCACCCTGTCATCCCGGTTGTCCACCGTGATCAGGGATTTCTTGGCGTCGTCGTCCGCAGCATCTGTGATCACCGACTCCACATAAGCCGGGATCTGCATCGCGAACGGGTTGTGGACCGCAGCCACCTGCACCTTGGTACTGGCGATGACCACCGCGACGAGCTCCACCTTTCTGAGGCAGATCTGGCTGAGCAGCCGTAGCGGCCCCTGGGGTGTAGTGACCCCAGACATCCTCAGCAGCCTGACCAGTCGGAGGGAGCTGCCGAGGTTGAGGGAACTGGCTCGGTCGCGGGAACGACATTCTCCCCAGGCCCTACAACTAAGACCAGTTCCCAAAAACAGCCGATCAGCTCTTGTCTGCGGGGTCGATCGCCTTTTGCCAAAATGGCGACGGATCCGCAAACTCGAGCAGACCGAAAAGCAAGTGAAAACCTGCAGACCAAAGTGAGACCCAAACCCCAGACCAACCTAACCGGTGGTTTGGGAACTAATCACAATCATAACAATCATAACAATCATAACAATCATAACAATAATAACAATAATAACAATAATAACAATAATAACAATAATAACAATAATAACAATAATAACAATAATAACAATAAAAACAATGATAACAATAATGACAATATTATAACAATAGGAGGCTCTCATGGGCTTGGCAAGGGAGACCAACTTCTGACATTTGGTGGTTTACGATATTCGGGGTACCTTGTTGGGGTCCTTATTCTAAGGGAAATCTACTATGTGGGGTTCTATTTTGGGGGTGCCCTATTTTCGTAAAGTCCCATTTGGAGGGTGCTGCAGTCGATAGAAAGAAGGGTGGGAGGCGCCCCTTTAGCGCGACGAGCAGCTGATTCGGGCGAAATGTCAGACGGCACACGCATGCCGTCACAACCCATTTTGAAGCACAAGGACCGCACAGCTCGGCTAGGAGAATTGGTCTTGCTTATCCTGCTGGCCTCCCAACCCTAAACCCTAAACCCTAAACCCCAAACCCCAAACCCTAAACCCTAAACACCGTGTACTTTCACGCGCGGCTCCCTTGGGCACGCGCTGAGGAGCTCGAGGATGACGAGCTTAGGCTGGTGTGGCTGGCCTTCTCAACTCGGATGTGACCGGTGGTTGTCGGGTTTCGGGTTTCGGGTTTCGGGTTTAGGGTTTAGGGTTTAGGGTTTAGGGTTTAGGGTTTAGGGTTTAGGGTTGCACCTAATATGTAGGGTGTCCAAAAAGGGCCTGATGTTGACAGCTGCCCATGTGAGGCTTCGGCGCTTCGGTGTTGGGGCTTCCTGCTGATTGGGGCAAAGAAAAGCTCTGCAGTTCTACCCAGGACTCTGTTTACTTACAGCTTAGTAGTAACTGCCCTTGATTAGTAGGTATGACCCTGGGACTCTGTTTACTTACAGTTTAGTAGTAGCTGCCCTTGATTAGTAGGCATGACCCATAAAACTGCAGGCAAAGAGGGTCCCAGCTAGTCATACAGGCTTTAACCCAAACCTCTGTTCTGGTACTTTGTGGCGCTCGCTGACTCTCTTACTCACTTTCTTCTCTCTTGGCTGCCTCTGGCTCCAACAGAAGTGGGTTTGGGGTTTAGGGTTTAGGGTTTAGGGTTTAGGGTTTAGGGTTTGGCTAACGATCTGCAAGAGGCGAAAGCGTTCACGATGCTCGCGAGCACTTCTTGGGCAGCGGAGTCCGATACTTCGTTGCCTGCCTTGTGGTTGTCCGCTCTCCGACACCTATTTAGGCCTTAGGGTCCACTCATCTTAAAAGCTTTAGCAAAGGCCCTGTCATGGCTCTCCATACATCCTCCACCCCTCTTACAACGAAAAGTTTGGGCTCCCTGTGTCCACCCTCTCAATGCCAAAAGGCACTGGTATTTCACTCTGCCCCTTCGGCCACCTGCAGAAACCTTAACTTACTTCGGATGATTTATCTACGCAGACCTCCATTCCCATGCCAGCAGGCGCAACCAGAAAGGTGTTGCCCCATGCCTCGCTGTAGGTTAGGCGCAGCTTCTTCCTGCTCCCGCCGCCCTGGTCGTGGATTGGAAGCTCCACAAGAAGAACAAAGCAACGCCACCTTTCATGCTGGTTTGCGAGAGGCTGTGGAATGTACTTGGGTTCGGGGGGTGATTTGGTGCTTTGCGGTTGATTCAAGACCCTTGAACCATTCAGTCCCGACTCCCGTAACTCCGACATTGCAAGGGCAAACCTGCCACCTTGGGCCGTCGACTTCCACCTCAACCAATTACAACTCCAGACCCCAAAAACTTTTGTGAACTTCCCCATCTTCCCCCCGCCCCCCCACCCCCTTCCCCGTCGCCCCCCGAAGAAAGGAAAGAACTGGCAGGGCCCCGGACAGGGGGGAGCTCACCCTTCAGCTCTTGCTGGACGTTCCACCTGCTGCTTCATTTGATGAAGCCCCACAGTCGCCGCCCGGCTTAGTTAAGCTCTTCCATGCCCGCAATACGTCGTGGCATGACACCTTTTTTGCTGCTGACGCCGCACCTCAAGAGGCAGTATGGGGGTCTGTTGTCTCTGCCTGAAAAGCGGGTCGAAAATCGACCCAGTCCCAAGGGGAACACGTCCAGAATTTCTAGACGTCAGAAAATGACATGGTCTGCTTGTGAGACCTCTGCTCACATTCAAGATCCGAACTGTTCGATGCCCGACTTGCCGGTGTAGAGACCTGCGGCGATCTGGCCAATTGCAGCAAACATTGCGATTCTGCCGTTGTTGAGCTCCCGGGACCTCATCTCATCCGACTAGTCATCACCCACCAAAGGGAGAGGGTTTCCGAAATTTCCAGGCTCCTTGCTCTCGTCTTGCACGAAGACTGTGGCCTCCAACACGGCGATGATGGCGATGGTGATGAGGAAGCCCGCCTGACCGGCGCCGACGGTGCAGGCGGAGACGTCCTTCGGCACGCCCTCCATGCCGGGAAGCTGCACCAAGCTCTGTGTAAGCATGCCAAGCGCACCCATCATTGCCAGGCGCCCGTGCTTAAGCTCCTTGGCCCGAAAGTCCTTGAACGTCGCCTCGTCCTTGCAAAGCCCAGCAGGATCAAAGAAGCCCAGCGGCTCCATGGCCCCGATTTGGCTCTCGGCGCTGAAGTTGCACGCCACGCTCTTGGCGCTCTTTGCGCTCTTGCGGCTCGGGCGCTTCGTGACGAAGCTCAGGCTGCTCAGGGCCACGACTCCGGAGGCCGCGGCCAGCGCCGAGGTCATGCCAAAGCGCGACTCGGAATGCATGGACGGCACTACAGAGCCCCGGAGCGCAGACGACTGGACCTGGGCCCCTGGCACCACGAAGGCCTCGGTGTTTGGCACAGCCATCAGAGAAGCCATGACTCGGAGCGGAAGTCAAGCAAGCGAAGGCAAAGCCGGAGAACGATCTGAACGACTCTTTGAGCCCATGCATGCATTTCAGAGACCCTGAGCAACAGCAAGACCACCCTGTTGCAGATTTATTCGCACCATATCGTGGCATGTCGCCTTTTTGCTGCTGACGCCGCACCTCAAGAGGCAGTGTGGGGGTCTGTTGTCTCTGCCTGAAAAGCGGGTCGAAAATCGACCCAGTCCCAAGGGGAACACGTCCAGAATTTCTAGACGTCAGAAAATGACATGGTCTGCTTGTGAGACCTCTGCTCACATTCAAGATCCGAACTGTTCGATGCCCGACTTGCCGGTGTAGAGACCTGCGGCGATCTGGCCAATTGCAGCAAACATTGCGATTCTGCCGTTGTTGAGCTCCCGGGACCTCATCTCATCCGAGTAGTCATCACCCACCAAAGGGAGAGGGTTCCCGAAATTTCCAGGCTCCTTGCTCTCGTCTTGCACGAAGACTGTGGCCTCCAACACGGCGATGATGGCGATGGTGATGAGGAAGCCCGCCTGACCGGCGCCGACGGTGCAGGCGGAGACGTCCTTCGGCACGCCCTCCATGCCGGGAAGCTGCACCAAGCTCTGTGTAAGCATGCCAAGCGCACCCATCATTGCCAGGCGCCCGTGCTTAAGCTCCTTGGCCCGAAAGTCCTTGAACGTCGCCTCGTCCTTGCAAAGCCCAGCAGGATCAAAGAAGCCCAGCGGCTCCATGGCCCCGATTTGGCTCTCGGCGCTGAAGTTGCACGCCACGCTCTTGGCGCTCTTTGCGCTCTTGCGGCTCGGGCGCTTCGTGACGAAGCTCAGGCTGCTCAGGGCCACGACTCCGGAGGCCGCGGCCAGCGCCGAGGTCATGCCAAAGCGCGACTCGGAATGCATGGACGGCACTACGGAGCCCCGGAGCGCAGACGACTGGACCTGGGCCCCTGGCACCACGAAGGCCTCGGTGTTTGGCACAGCCATCAGAGAAGCCATGACTCGGAGCGGAAGTCAAGCAAGCGAAGGCAAAGCCGGAGAACGATCTGAACGACTCTTTGAGCCCATGCATTTCAGAGACCCTGAGCAACAGCAAGACCACCCTGTTGCAGATTCATTCGCACCATATCGTGGCATGTCGCCTTTTTGCTGCTGACGCCGCACCTCAAGAGGCAGTGTGGGGGTCTGTTGTCTCTGCCTGAAAAGCGGGTCGAAAATCGACCCAGTCCCAAGGGGAACACGTCCAGAATTTCTAGACGTCAGAAAATGACATGGTCTGCTTGTGAGACCTCTGCTCACATTCAAGATCCGAACTGTTCGATGCCCGACTTGCCGGTGTAGAGACCTGCGGCGATCTGGCCAATTGCAGCAAACATTGCGATTCTGCCGTTGTTGAGCTCCCGGGACCTCATCTCATCCGAGTAGTCATCACCCACCAAAGGGAGAGGGTTCCCGAAATTTCCAGGCTCCTTGCTCTCGTCTTGCACGAAGACTGTGGCCTCCAACACGGCGATGATGGCGATGGTGATGAGGAAGCCCGCCTGACCGGCGCCGACGGTGCAGGCGGAGACGTCCTTCGGCACGCCCTCCATGCCGGGAAGCTGCACCAAGCTCTGTGTAAGCATGCCAAGCGCACCCATCATTGCCAGGCGCCCGTGCTTAAGCTCCTTGGCCCGAAAGTCCTTGAACGTCGCCTCGTCCTTGCAAAGCCCAGCAGGATCAAAGAAGCCCAGCGGCTCCATGGCCCCGATTTGGCTCTCGGCGCTGAAGTTGCACGCCACGCTCTTGGCGCTCTTTGCGCTCTTGCGGCTCGGGCGCTTCGTGACGAAGCTCAGGCTGCTCAGGGCCACGACTCCGGAGGCCGCGGCCAGCGCCGAGGTCATGCCAAAGCGCGACTCGGAATGCATGGACGGCACTACAGAGCCCCGGAGCGCAGACGACTGGACCTGGGCCCCTGGCACCACGAAGGCCTCGGTGTTTGGCACAGCCATCAGAGAAGCCATGACTCGGAGCGGAAGTCAAGCAAGCGAAGGCAAAGCCGGAGAACGATCTGAACGACTCTTTGAGCCCATGCATTTCAGAGACGGGTCTGAGCAACAGCAAGACCAAGGGCCAAGCTAAACTCTAAATCCTAAACCCTAAACCCTATAGCCTATAGCCCTTGGAGAAAGACGACCTCGCACGCCCAGGCCTCACTCGGTCGACGGCCTCGATGACCGAAGGATCCTTCCCCTGGGCATTTGGGCCACCGCCACGAACAAGGGACTCGCGGCGTTGAGAATTTGGGTTTAGGGTTTAGGGTTTGGGGTTTAGGGTTTAGGGTTTAGGGTGTAGGGTTTAGGGTTTAGGGTTTAGGGTTTAGGGTTTAGGGTTTAGGGTTTAGGGTTTAGGGTTTAGGGTTTAGGGCTGCGCGCCTCCGACTCCTTGATGGCTTGGCTCCGGGAGAGCCACACGGAGCTGTTGGGCGGCCTCGGCGCCCAAGGCACCGACTGTGGACCCTAAGGGTTTAGGGGGTTTAGGGTTTAGGGTTTAGGGTTTAGGGTTTCGGGTTTAGGGGCTTTTAAACCCCCCCTCTCATGCTTAATGGGGATTACAGTACCCCCCCCCCCCCATTAGAAACTGCTAGTAGAAGGGCGAACATCCCAAAACGAATCCCTGAACTTACCCCACGCTCAGCTGCTAAGCCCCAAACCCTACTGCAAGCCTTGCTCGGTCATAAACATCCCCAAACCCTAAACCCTAAACCCTAAACCCTAAACCCTAAACCCTAAACCCTAAACCCTAAACCCTAAACCCTAGACCCTAGACCCTAAACCCTAAACCCTAAACCCAAACCCTAAACCCTAGACCCTAAACCCTCAAGCCTGAACCCTAAACCCTGAGCCATCTCCTGAGGTGCCGGCAGCACCCACATCGTTATGGCGCTCGGATACTTCCGGCCTGGCATCAAGAGCACTTCGCCCAGCTCCCAAGAGAAAAAGACCAGAAGACCTGGCGAAGCCGAGCTCAACTCGGAAGCCATGTCAAAACCCTCCACCCAGTAAGTGCGTGTGCGCGTGTGCCTCCCCCTCCGGCACCCCAAAAGAAAACAAAAAAAAATGCGGGCCGCTCCCCCCCCTAAACCCTAAACCCTAAACCCTAAACCCTAAACCCTAAACCCTAAACCCTAAACCCTAAACCCTAAACCCTAAACCCCCCCCCCCGGCATGGGCCTTTCACATGCCAGCCGGCGGCTGGGCCTGAGTCGATGTACTTGACCTGCTCTCGGGGGAGCGTCTTCGTCTCTGAAGGGGAGGATAAGGGTTTAGGGTTTAGGGTTTAGGGTTTAGGGTTTAGGGTTTAGGGTTCGTAAGGGGTGTTCTCGAAGGGCTTCCAGGGGTCATTCTTGTGAGTCGCGGGTTCGTGCAACCCAACTGCAACCACTACCCGTCAGCCTCTTGAGGTTTCAAGCCGCTTCGTTCTCTGAAACTAGGAGCGACGATTCTGCCAAGCTTGTGGGGAGCTCTGAGAACCTCTGAGAATCGGAGCTTTTGCCCTTCAGCCTGGGGCCCAGACCAATTCTGGGCTCGGCTTACCTCGGCCGCTCAAGCCAGGGTCGCGACTTTTCAGGCAGGCTCCGCAACGACGTCTCCCAATCTCTCACTTATGCTTTTAGTCTTCCTGTTTCGGGTACCTCCAAAAACCTCAGGGCCAGGCCCTGATTAGCTGCTGGCGCTGGCGCCGCCTTCGCCTTTCCTGCGGAGTCTGGGGGGAGGGGGGAGGCTGGGCGGGGCTTCTGTGATTTTCAGACCCGGCGTAATTGTCAAAAAGGTGCAGGGTAGCGACTGAAGACTTCAGCTTCAAGTGGAACTAGTGACGTGCCCAGCGTGTTCGTTGGAGGCCTTGCGAGTTTTCGCTCTCTTCTTTGTCCTTCACGCCTTGCCATGATGAGGATATGGGAGCGTGGGGCCTCGAGAATTGAACAAACCGGAGCCGCCGGAGTCCTTGCGGCGCGGCGCCCTTGGTCTCAGCTTTGTCTTCCTTCTTGCGCTGCTTCCTTGCGACCTGGCGGAAGTTTCGGGTTTCGGGTTCAGGGTTTAGGGTTTAGGGTTGAAGGGCTCAAGGATTGGGCTGAGGCGGGCTTTGGGCACGGGAGGATCAGGGCCAGTGTCGGTCCGATCGGTGCTACACCAGCTGTCGCGCGGCTCTCGGCTGCCGCCTAAAAAGGTGCAGCACGCATTTGGGGCCGAAGCTGCACTCTCGCCTAGTCTCCGCTTGGTGTACAGATTCTTGAAGGCCTCATCGCGAACATCGCAAAACGAAAGTTTTGCGATCTCACCTCAGACTCAGTCTCATGGTCGAAGTCGTGCTATCCACCGCATGGTTTGGTGCCGGAATCACTCAGGGTGGCCCTGGGCATACTTGCCTCCCTCGCGGGCTCTTGGACGGGTTCGTACGATCCCGAGTCCCCTGGCGCACGCTGTTTCTAAAGAAGCGGACTCTTGAAGTTTCCACTGGGCGCTGTGCCGCGGATGTCCGCGGAAGGATTCCTTGGACTTTGGACTGATATACTTTATCGTGCTGGATCGTCCGACGTTGCGCACGCTCGTTTTTGGCTTGGCTTGCAAGCGTGAACTCACTCGTTGTCCAGCTGCACTGTCGCTTCTCAGAGCTAGGCAAGCTCGATGCGGCACCAAGCGCGCACTCACACATGTTCGCATCAAGGCAGCAAAAGCTAGCATACCTCCACCTGCTGCAAAATCAACACTTCTACATCTTCCTGCTACTGGCTCCTCAGCGCGCATGCCATGGCCTTCTCTGCAGCTGCCTTCTCTGCTCGCGCGTGCTTCTCCGCAGCCTTCTCTGCAGCCTTTTCTGCAGCTGCCTTCTTGGCAGCCAGCTGCTTGTCGGCCTTCGGGTTTGCTAAGGTTTTGACTACAGGCAATACGCAACGTAAAGTTTTCTGCACGGAGCGGCAGCCAGTGAATCCCACTTGTCTCCGATGCAGATATGTGGAGCCTTTTGGGCAACCACCCGAATTAAGCCCAAAAGAAGGAACCTACCTTTAAAGAGGACCCCCCCAAAAACAGAGCCTGCCCTACAAAGGGACAAACCCCCCCCCCCCCCCCGGCATGCATCTGAGGCCTTCTCCTGTCGGGCAGCGGCCTCAAGGCAGGGGGGGGGGGGGGGGGGGGGGGGGGGGGGGGGGGTTCTTTCCGGGGTGCTTTGGGGATGCTTGGTACGACTTATGGCTTGGGGCTTAGGGCCTAAGGCTTCGGGCATGGGGTTGAGGTTTGTGGCTCGGGGCTGAGGGATGTTTCAGGAGGCTTAGCATGGAGGCGGCTACGGGGCGGGCGCTTGAGAGCCAGATGTCCAGGGGGAACCAAGAAGCGTCTATCGCGGATGTGATGAGGCCAGGGATGATGATCTTGCCGCCTAATCTTAACGTAATTAAGGGGCATAAGGCGGGACCCCGAGAAGGGACCCTTCATCTTATTTATTTATTTATGTTTGTACATATCTTATGTAGTCCCTATATACCTAAGTAGCCCCTAAAGAAGCCCCAAAGAACCCATAGCAACAACAACACAAACAAGAAAAGCAACAATAATAGCCATGATAGCCATAACAGCCATAGTAGCCCTAGCAGGAACCTCAGGCCGCCACCGTCGCTGCGGCTTTCTCGGCTCCTGCCTTCACCGCCTCACACGCTCTGGCTTTGCTGAACTGGGGGCAGGCTTGGGGGCCCTATAAAGCTTAAACTTCTATGGCTTTATTTGAAAAAAGAATACATCTAAGAGTATAACATATACCGAATATAAAAACACTTCAAGAATCTCTTTCTATACTCGATATCAAATAATGTTAGCACAGCTGGGGTTGACCTAGGGTTTGCTCGAACCCTAACTAACCCTAGTCTTGAAAGGATCATATAGGGGATTAAGGAAACAAATCAAAAATATGTTCTCACCTACCTCTGTGCAGATTTGGCCACCCACGGGGTGGGGGGGAGGGGGGGGAGGGGGGGCAGGTTTTGCGAGCATGATTTGTGGTTCCCGCTTCCTTGGCTCACACTCCATGTACACTGCAACAATCTAAGCCATGCGTTTGCCCAGAATGTTGCGAAAATATGGCCCTTTCCTGGGACCGGGACCCTACCGTCCTTGCTTTTTGGACATCTTGACATAGCTGGGATGCCTTTCAGAGCCTTCAAAGCAGTTCTCAAAGCCTCGCCGAATCCCAAACAGAACCGTTCAGAAACCTAAACCCTAAACTCTGAACCTAAACCCTAGACCTAAACCCTAAACCCTAAACCCTGAACCCTAAACCCGACCCAAAGTACACTGCTCAGCATCGCCTCCAGCGCAGCCAGCTGGCGCTTGCGGACCTTCGACACCCATGCTCTCTAGAGGCGAATATGGGGGTTTCCGAAATGAGGGGGGTACCTTATTGGGGTCCTGATTGCAAGGGAATCCTCCACCTAATTGGGGGTCTATTTTAGGGGTCCCCCTTGTTTTCGTAAACCCCCGTATCATGGGGAAACTCTTAGGCCCCAAGCCGGATTGGTATTGGGGAAGAGCATCTCCGACAATCGCGTGGCTTCGGTGAGGCCAAACGGCATCTGATTCATCTGATACCAAGCCGGGAAACCAGCGGCTCTCAAAGGAAATTGAGAAGTCATTGAATTGATGGAGATACAATGGTAAAGCGTGAAGAGAAAAGAGACGTGTCAGCAGGAAGGGGTTTTGGCAAGGATGTTTGAGAGCTGAGCCCCGCACGCTCTCATGGTCTTTGTCTGCGACGACCAGCTTCGCACAGATCCTCGCAGCCAGGAATTTGCTGCGCCCCATCTACAAAGGTGCCCTGATGTGTGCCCATCGTTCTTCGTCTTGCAGCCACTGCTTTTGCTGCCTGCTTGTCACAGAATCGATCGTGGCCTGGAGCGAAGCCTGCATGCAGCTGCAGCTAGGGTTCGGCGTGAGGTGTGTTGTCTAAGGCGTCTAAGGGTGTTTTGGAGCTTGGGGGGGGGTGTGCTGATAGGGCAGTACTTAGCATGATGAGGACATATTCGGACTGTAAGATAGCTCTGGCTGCGACAGGGCTTTCCAGAATGCAGGAGGTTTGTAAGAGCAAATGTCTTTCAAAGCTTGTGCACAAAGAAAAAGGGCCTTGGAGCTAACACAAGGAATGTGCATCCTAATTGCTGAGCTTCACGTTCCAGAAGGGTTGCCGCGGACTCCATCGGACTCCTACCAGGTCCTACCAGGAGCACCCTGAACCTTAAACCTTAGATGCCGAAACCGACAGCTTGCAGGCAATGACTGTGCGCAAAAGCGACTCGGGGAGGGCTGTGATAATCAGGCCCCGCATGAACCAAGTAAAGCTGCTTAGTTTGGTAGGCAGAAGCTAAGCTTCAGTGTCCCTTATCGAACCAAGTACCTGCTTAATTGGGTAGGCAGAAGCCTCAGTGTCCCCAAACTCTACGGGTATCAACCCGAAGCCCGACGTTTTCCGTCCCGCTCGATCCGCGCGGTCCGCAGAGCGGATCGTGCAAAGGAGCTCAGCTGCTCGCAGTTTGGCGGTGCCTGGAGGGGTAATATGTATGTATGTATGTGTATATATATGTATATATATATATATATATATATATGTGGGGGGGGAGTTTTTCGAAACTAGGGGACCCCTAAAATAGACCCCCAAATGGCACGATTCCCTGGAAAATAAGGACCCCAATAGGGTACCAAATTGGGATTAGGAATAGCAGTTGGGGGCGTGAGGGGTTTGGAATAGAGGACCAACATCTGAACATCTGAGAGATTTGGTGCTGCGCAGAGTTCCGAGGGTCTTGTGCAGAATGCGCCTCCTACCCACTCTTCTGACAAACATGCAGGTTTGCAGCTGCTAGAAGCGCATTTCTTTGCACAAGAAGCTTTCAATTTGGCCGGCCAGGCTCCATTCATTCCGTTTGAATTCTTCAATGGGTTTCTGATGAACTTTCGGCGGCGCTTGCGAATTCGTTCCATAAGCATGGACCTTCGTTCCACGTCAGCTGGGGTCGTGTTGCAGATGCACAAGGCTCAGCGTCATGGCGGGTTCAACCCCAACCCCTATATCAACATATAAGCCCTTAGCTATATAAACCTATATAAACCTATATAAACCTATATAAACCTATATAAACCTATATAAACCTATATAAACCTATATAAACCTATATACACCAACCCTAAGCAGCCGGGCGGCAACCAGGATGGGTGCGTCTATTCGCCCAGCGGCCAAGGCGGCGTCAAAGCGACGCCGGAGGGCCTGCTTCAACAGTGAAAGGCGAAGTGGGGAATCCAGTATATTTTATGTGTACAAGGTATTGTCTTGGGATGCTCCTCCTCATACTAGAATTCCTTCATAGGGATTACAGTAAAGCGTACGATAATCCCCACTAAGGGCTCTTAGTTGAAGAACATCCCAAGTATTGTATATCAAGATAAAGACACAAAATCATATATTCCTAGGGGGGCGTGGGCCTCCTTAACTGCTGGGGAATTTAGGGTCCAAGAACTGTTCCTTCTGAAGCTGTCTGGTCCTCATCTCTTTACTAGTGCGGAGGTCGGCCTTAGTTTCGAAAAACTCCAGACACATCAGGGGCCTCGCACCAGACCCATGCAAATCCAGAGGACCACACTACAGTTCTCGCCTGCAGTGTACCATCCACACTAGAACCCCCAAGAAAAACACAACGAGAAAGGCCCCTAAGAAAGCTGAGGATGACGACGATGGGGACGGCGAAGAAAGGCGCGCCTGGACCTGCCCTTTCAGTGGCCCTGGCCCTGGGACCCGGCGCAGGGGTGGCCAGTGCCCGGCGTGCAAGCCTCTTTTGTGGTTTAGGCGGTTTAGGGGTTAGGGGGCTTCAGCTCTGCAAAGCAATCATGTAAGTGCACCTCATCGAAACCTGTCACAGTGAGTCACAAACCCAATGTTGCACGTGTTCTTTCTTTGTCGTTTCAGGTCATTCTTCTTTTTTGGATCTTACAGGTTCCTCTCGGCTCCGCTCGCAGTTCCAGCTCTCTAGGCTTCAGGAGATACTGATCACACTATATGCCGTAAACTCCCCAGAACTGAGCAGAGTTGGGGGGTTTACGAGATTAGGGGTCCTTGTTGTAAGGGGATCCTACTATTTGGGGGTCAAGATTAGGGGTCCCCGAATTTTCGTAAAGCCCTAGTTCGGCGAGGGGCAGCTTGCCAATGCCGCTTGCAATGCGACGTCTGTGCCAAGGCCATGGTGGCACCTAGGCGAATGATCCTTGTTCAGAGTTTAGGGTTTCGGGTTTAGGGTTTAGGGCTGTTGGGGTCCAGAGACTTAAGCATAAGGTTTGCAGAGGGTTGCAGGAGCTTGCAGGCTTCCAAGCGCTTTTGCGGTTGTCTTGCATGGATTTGGAGACTTTGAAGCTCAGTGACACAGGGGTCGAAGCTTTGGCGTGCATCACAGCAAGTGTATACAGATGCTAAGACGACGCATACGACGCTCAACGCCCTTCATGTGGCCCACATTTACCAGCCCCCGAGACCGCAAAGCCAGTCCCCGAGCCCCCCGGAGACGTCTTGTCGGGCCGGGCAGCGCCACGAAGAGCGCATGGCGCCAGCGAGCGCTCCGCGCGAAGGCATCCAGGGCCGTGTGCAAACCTCTGCGGCTGAGATCTCAGGCGGTTTCTCCCCATGTAGGGGTGTACGAAAATACGGGACCCCTAATTTGGACCCCCTAAATTAAATAGTAGGATTCCCTTGCAAGGAGGAGGCCAATAAGGTACCCCCGAATCTCGGAAATCCCCCATAATCATGGACCCGAAGCATCCCTCCGAGTTTCAGGGTTTAGGGTTTAGGGTTTAGGGTTTCGGGTTTAGGGCAACCGAGTTCAGCTCAGTGGGCCGATGCGGTCGGCGGGGCCGCCCTGGTGCAGCAGCAGCAAGGTGTCCTACTCAGGGGCGCGGATGGGACGTGCCCCGAAATGGGGAAGATGTTGGCCTCCGAGAGGGGGAAAAGGGGAGGTTTTTAAGTGAGACATGACTCAATGACAACCTCTAGCGGCTAGTGAAAGAGCACGGAGGGCTAAGGAAAAGAGCCAACGCAGAGCTGGCACGAACTGGGCAGAGTGGGCTAGAAGCGTCTTCACCGGAGATGCCAAGCACGGCTGCTGCGAAGCTGAATTAAGAAGCAAGCTTGAAAACGATGCCCCGAAGCCTCTGAAACTTGAGCAGGTCCCTCCGAAACACACGCTGAACTAGCAGAACAAGTCCTAAGTTTCAGCAAGGCCGCGTGAGCTAACACTGAAGCCCCTGAACCCTTGGGGTTCGGCACCAGGCAGTCCGCTGCGCATCTCGGCCATTCTCGATGGGAAATATCGGGTGGTAATCCTAAACCCTAAACCCTAAACCCTAAACCCTAAACCCTAAAAACCCTAGACCCTAAGGCCCCTGGGTTCATGGTTGAAGACGCGGCCTGCCTGGAAGGGCATTGGCAAAGCATAACGGACGGGGAAAGAGCAGCGGCTGCCAGGCATTGTCAGCAACGTGCATCGATGGGCCGCGGAAGGGGCTTCTCAATAACCCTAAACCCTAAACCCTAAACCCGAAACCCTAAACTCTAAGTAAACCCTAAACCCTAACCCTAAACCCTAAACCTTCTACATGGCGGCTTCGCTCCTTCCCTTAAACTTCTGTATCCGAGAGCATAGCTCGGTCGGGCGGCCAATGGACCGGGTCTGGGGCGCCCTGCAGGGCAAAGTCAACACGGAGTTGTGGCTGACTCAAAATACAAACCCTAAACCCTAAACCCTAAACCCTGGAAGCACCAAGGAAACCCAAACAGTTTGGGGCCGTCGCCTCGTGTCACCTTGGAGAGCTGGAACCTCAGAAGTCGCCCCCATCCCCGCAGCCGTCACTGCTGCCGCCACCCCACGAGGAATCTCCGGTGTCCCAGGAGCCGCTGTCATCCCAGGACGAGCTCCAGGAGCTACTTCCGGACGAGTCGTTGCTGGTCGGCGAGGAGTCGCCAGTGCCGTTGTCGTTGTCCCAAGACCACTTCCAGCTCTCACTCCTACTACTATTACTACTCCTACTCGTGCTCCGAGAGCCACCGCTCTCCCAAAGATCCGTGGACTCGCTGGCCGATCCGGATCCCGAAGTTCGGGCGCTGTCGTTCCCGTCGCTGCCTTTGGAGTCGCCCTCGCGAGATCCGGACGATTCATCGCCATTGCCCTCAGCATCGGTGGCGCTGCTGCCATCCTCGCCGATCGCCTCGAAGTCGCCTCCCTCGCCACCGGCCATGCTGAAGCCGCCGCCCCAAGCAACGTCCTCGCCTGAGCAGCACCCCAAGCCTCCCAAACCTCCCGAAGCCTTACCATCTTGGAACGAGTACAGGCCCAGATACACGCAAGCCAACGACAACACGCAAGCCAAAGACAGAGACTGTTGACCCTTTGATTGCTGTTTTTTTTGTTTTGCTGAGACATGAGCCTGGCCCACCGGAGTCCACAGAGCTGCCGTCCGTGGAGGAAAGGTATGCATCGGCAAAGACCGGCAGGGGCAGCGACTCCTCTTGTCCCCGCAGGAGTGCGACTCAGAAGCACGAAACGCTGCAGTCAAAAAGGGAACCCACTTGAAGGAGGGAAAGTTGGCCTCGTCGCAGGTGTAGGCGTTGCAGAAGTAGCATTGGGTCTCCTAGCCCATTGAACACATGGAACACACAAACAGGAGCTATTCACAATACCAAGCACAGGAGGAAAAAGAAGACATCACATGCCCGTGCACTGGTGCCATGGCGCCAAGAACCAAAGAGGATTACATAGGCTGGTTGAATCCAACAAACTGTGGACATGCCAGAAAACGTGCCCCAGTAGAAGCTTTCGCCGTACGCGCTTGTTAGGAAGGATGCCTTGCGCACAGCATGCGCAGATGCTGATATGATGGTGCGGGCTTTCTTCAGGAATCGTGAGACGCACCTCGCGCCAATTTCTGGAAGACAGACTTCCGGTTGGCAACTGCTGTTCAAGCGGTCCTAGATCGCGATTTCAAGTTCTTGTGCTGTTGTTTGTTCATATGCGCCTCGGCAAATTCAAACAACAAAGTACCTGCCGTTTCAAGTGGTTAGACAGAATGAACTTCCAAATATGCTAGGAGCAACTTCGTTCATGACTTTTTTGCTTTCTGTACACTTCTCTCTGCGCTGCCCGGCCGTCCCGTCGATGTTCGTGGTGCGCGTTTCTTTCCTTTCAATTTCTACGGGTCTTGCCTGTCGTGGCTTTCTATCACTGTTTCCTTCTCCTCTTCCCAGAAACGAACGCAGCATGACAACGCGATGCAGAGCAAAGACAGGCCAGGACACTAGGCCAGGCTAGCTGTCAATTAAGCATGAATAGGGTGTAGGGTGTAGGGTAGGGTGTAGGGTGTAAGGTTTGGGGTTTAGGGGATTAGGGGTTTAGGGGTTTAGGGGTTTAGGGTTCAAGGTTTAGGGATCTGGAAATGGGAACTCCTCGGACCACTCGCCGGTGACTGGGTTCTTGAAGCTCCGGGACAGCTGGGTCTTGTAACCTTTGCTCTCGGAAAGCTGCCGAATGACTATTAAATCTAAAGCAATTATGTTGTGAAATATTGGATAGCATAATAATAAATAATATGAATATTTCTATACACAAGTTGTGCGAAAATATCAGTAGTTACAAATGAATAAACTTGGCTAACACCTAACTAAAGAGATGTTATGACTGAAGCAACAGAAAATGCATTGAGTTCATACAAACTGATTTTGAATACTTCAAGATACTTAAGATTAAGAAACGCAAGTACCTAAAAGAAACAGTACTCAAAATTCGTGAAAACTAGTTGCAAGCATTTAAAACTACCCAATGTTTAAACAAAAAGGTTGACAAAATGCACCCTACATGTCATTCGAAAACAACTTAAACTTAGATAAGATACAAACAAATTCGGCTCCGGAAAAATGACTGGAGACCATTAACATTCAAAGCTTACAAAAAACATTCTGTAAAACCAAACTAAGAATTTATTGAAATTAGTTCATTCACATTCAAAACAATGAAGCAGCAGGAAAAGTAAATACAATTAACAAAAACGAAATTAAGTAAATTAAATAAAACCGAACAAAATACGGCTGCATGACGGATGTTACATGCCTGGGTTGCGAACGAGAAGCCGCAAGACGGGCATGTGTGGAATCGGGACATCCACCTGATCGGGGAAGGGCCCCTCAGTTGAGCGGGGAAGGGCCCCTCAGTTACGCACTATGCTATTATGCTAGTATATTGCTTTATTAATACATTGTTACGTTCCTAAAGTATTATATGATGATATTATTTTCTTAGTATATTACTGTCGTACTGTGCTAGTATATAAGTATAGTATTATGTTTCGCACAGCTCTCAACTTGCACCTCCGGGGTGGATGGACTGAATGAAGCACGCAACTCCAAACACCGAGCCGCCTGGCCCCAAGCAAGCCCAAGCGGGCACCTCTCCTAACAGTGGTCCCTTTTTGGGTGCCCCCCAACAAAATGCTCCAGATAAGAACAACCCAAACAAGTACCATGGCTAAACGCCCCAACTGGGCCTGGACCTCCAAAACATCCCGAGACCGGATCCCCGTGCCCCGGAGCCTGCGCGCGGTGATCATGCCCACTGCAGACTCCCGCTCCGTGGCTTCCTCCCGGCGACGGCATTTGTTGCACTCGCTGCGCGTCTCTCCGTTGCGAAGAAGGGCTCGGGCCTTTGCAGGTTTCTTGTCAAGCTCGCCCATCTGGCCCACGCAAACCAACTTACAAGTAGGGTCCCCTGCAACCCTTAAAACCCTCCAAAAAATCCCAAAAAAAATCGCCGCTGCAAGGGTCTCGGCAGATTCTGTCCCAGAGCAATGTGACACAAGTTTCGCGCGAGCCGCTGAGTGCACCCTGCCGGCCCTTCAGACCCCGGGAATTTAATGCATGGAGTTTTGGGCAACGTCCCTTCGCAGAACCTGACATGCCACACGGAACCGAACCGAAACGCCTTGAACCCCAAACCCTATAACCCCTAAACCGCCCAAAACATTGCACCCCCCCTCCCCCTTCCCAGACCCAGACCCGAAGCGCGCTCGCAGCCTTCACCTCCTCCGGGGTTAACTTGAGCTCGCGGGCGCGGTCCGTGGCGCCACCGATGCGCCGAGTCTGAGATTTGGGGGTATTTTTAGGGTTCATTAGGGTTTATTAGGGGTTATTAGGGTTTATTCGGGTGTATTAGGGTTTATAAGGGTTTATTAGGGCTGTTAGGGTGTATTAGGGTTTATTCGGGTTTATTAGGGTTGCAGGCTTCAGGGCATAAGGGAGGTTGGGGTTTAAGGATTTTGGGCTGTGGGGGATTGGGGGCTTGGGGGTTTGATGTTTTGGGGCCTTTAGGGGTTTAGAGTTTGGGGGTTTGGGGGTTTAAACCCTGCATGTTCAAAGGCCAACGAAAGCAGCTAGAGATGACGGTATAGTCGGTGTGCTGTGGCACCTGCTCTTCAACCTAGTAGTGCCTTGCCCTAGCGCTGCCATATCACCCTACGCCAAGCCCGTGAGGTCACTGGGGTGAAGCGCCCAACTGTGCACACAAGGCACCCCAGCAAATCGCCGCACTGAGCTGGGCTTGGACCACGACGCTCTGCAACCCGGGCCTGAAGTGTGTTTACTGTGGTGCAGGGGCTTGCACAAGCGCCTGCCGTGATCTAGGGCTTTTGGGGTTTTGGGAGGGGTCTTGTGTTGGACTGGCCTGGCATGGAAATAGTGTGGGCAAGGAGGCCGTGTATGTTCAGGCTTCGAAGCACGGCAGTACAGGCGGCCTTCAACCCCGACCTCCGAGGTCAAGGCCCTGAATCCCAAACCAACCCGCAAACACCTTGGGGGTCTCGGCCGTATTCCGGCTTTCTCAAATCCAAGGGACGGTTGCAA